CATGATTGTCACTGCCCTGGAAGTGCTACTGATGTCTGGTGGCTTGAAGCCAGAACTGTTCTCATCCTCCTCCTACGGGAAGGACAGAACTTACCCCAGAACCTTCTGGTCTAAAATGTATGGGCCAGCACTACAGGGCAGGGAGTGAAGTTAATTCAGGATGCTGGCGTCCTGGGTCTGAGTGCCAGTTTGTGTCCTGGCAGTTGTACTTGTGCTCCAGCTCCTTGCTGATGTGCAGGGAGAGGCAATGGACGGTCATCCAAAAAGCTGGGTCCCTGGGGCTGTGTGGGAGACGAGGACAGAGCTCCCCCCAGCCTCACCCACTCCTGACTGTTAGGGTCTTTGGGGAAGGGAACCAGCAAGTGGATGCACTGTCTCTCTCCCCTGTCTTCAAGAGAAATGATAAAATGCTAGTGCCATGGTTGGAAAGTTCTAGAGACCATGGATGGAGTAGGGGTCTTTGTAAGGGCTGAAGCCCACATGTGCAGAGGCCAACTTCCTGGGCGATGTGCTTGTAGGGTGCCCCCCTGCTGCCCCCAGTGCCACTGCAGGCCTTGCCTCTGAGGGGTGCAGCGCTGGCCTCACTGCCCAGCACTCAGACCGGTGACTTTGCTTGCCAGTTGTGCCAGGTTTGAGTGGGGCGCATGCGAACCAGCATTGCTGCTTAAGCTTTGGTGCTCTGCTTGTTTTGGGGACACCACCTGAGAAAAGAGGAGGTTGAGATTATTGGGGTGATGGTGAACTGACCCTGGTCTGGCTGGGTTGCTGACCAGATAGATACCTGGAGGGTTGCTGGGACACAGCCCCGGACACAACCCCAGCTCCACTGAGGTGGCACCTGCCGCAGGAAGCCAGGAGGCTCAGACCGCCCTGGGCTCTGTCCACGTGGCCAGACACCTGAGTGGGCCCTGCCGTCCTTGTTCTATTTTTGAAGCTTTTGGCTGAAGGCAGTGTTTCACATGAGGAAATGAAAGTCGGGCTGATGTCATTCAGTTTAAAATAGGTGTCACCGTTGGGGACCTAACCCAGATTGTCATCTTCTCTTGCTGGGTCTTCAGAAGTTGGCCCAGAATGTGGTGGCAGGATTGCTAAGTGGAGGTTGGGGCTGGGGTGGAGGGGTCATCCTGCTGGCCAGAGTCCCTCCTGGTGGCAGTCAGGCCTCCCTGACCCAGGGGGTCTTGGCAAATGGAAGTGGGTGCTCTTTGGGTCTTTCCTGTTGTCCTGAGGCCCAGCAGCAGTGACCTGTCAGGGAGTCTCCACCTGTACCTTCGTGCCTTCTGGTGTCTCCTTTCTCATGTGAGAAGATATAAATGGCCTGCAGCTGCCTCTGTACTGGCTGAGGGAGTGCTGAGTGCTACAGGTCTCCCCCTTCCTGGGATGGGGAGCAGAACTTAGGGGGCACCGGGCGGTTGGCTGAGTGCGTCTCTGTCGCCCCCTACACGGCTCAGGCAGCGCCAGGAAGCAAAGCAGCAGCAGGGACGAGATCCCGACTGACTGCTCTTGAGCTGTCCTGAGTTTGTGCTGAGTACGTGGCGGCACCTTGACCCAGAGGACCTTAACTGACAGTGATGCACAGGGGACATGCTCCGGGCCTTCCACGCCGCCTTGCGGAACTCTCCCATCAACACCAAGAACCAGGCTGTGAAGGTAAATGGGTGGAGTGGGGGCCACTCAGGGCCGTGGACAGCCCAGTGTTCGTTCCATTGGCCTCAGTGGTGGGTGCACAGGGTGGGCTCCACAGGGACCCCAGGACTGGCAGGCAAGGAGGCAGCCCAGCCCTGGCTGAGGAGCCATGCAGACAGCCCCTGCCCTGGGGAGCCTTTGGTGTGTGGTCAGAGCTGGTGGAGTGGTTGGGAAGGTTACACTTGTACTGGGGTGTCTACTACGTTCCTTCCTTCAAAGAGGGCTGCCTCCTCCAGGTGGGCCTCAGCACTCAAGACAGGGCTGGGACTGGGTGTGGAAATAGGTTGAGGGCCTGGCCAGTGCTCACACCCAGTGAAACACTTGCCCCGCGAATGGAGTGGAGTAACTTAGTGGTCCCAGTGATGAGCGGTGCTGTGGGATTCCAGCCCAGAGAGGCTGAACTTGAAATGGGCCATGCCGCCGTGGGGTATGGGTGCTGGCCTGTGGCGCTGGGCCCATCCTCTGTCTCGTCTGTAGGAGCGAGCCCAGGGCGTGGTGCTGAAGGTGCTCACCAACTTCAAGAGCAGCGAGATGGAGCAGGCTGTGCAGTCTCTGGACCGCAACGGGGTGGACCTGCTTATGAAGTACATCTATAAAGGCTTCGAGAAGCCCACAGAGAACAGCAGTGCTGTGCTGCTCCAGTGGCATGAGAAGGTGCGTGCCCGCAGTGTCCCCATCCCTCCAGGAAGCACCTGGGCAGGCTCTGCTCCATGGCATCGCCTTGGTAGCCATGGTCAGCACCAGGCGGGACAGGGGAACTCTCGCCATGTGCCTCGGGTCCAGGTGACAAGGTGTGGTACAGCAGGAGGAACACTGGCTGGCTGTGGCACTCTTGACCTTGGTGGGAGCCTGGACCTGGCCTTACCAAGCAGGAGCAAGCTTTGGGTAGACACCTGGACAGTCTCCGAGCAAAGGCTGTGCTCCTCCACTTGGGTGTGTCCCCTTGTCATTCCTGCATACCACCGGGTGCCCCTGCCCTGCCCCAGGGCTGTCTCCTTGGCCAGCCAGTCCCAGAGGCTGTGGGCTAGGCTGTGGTGGCAGTCCCGGGGCCATGGGGGTGGGAGGTTGGGTCCTTAGCCCTTTAAAGCCACTATGCCAAGGACTGCCGTGTGTTGATGGGCTGGCAGCTGGGGTGGGCATGGGCCCATGGCCGCCCACCGCCTCTCCCGTGCCCACCTGTCCTCTTTCTGCTCCACAGGCCTTAGCAGTAGGAGGACTAGGCTCCATTATTCGAGTCCTGACAGCAAGAAAGACTGTTTAAAAATAGACTCAGTACCTTGAGAAGATTGGCTGCCCAGGCCGGCGAAGCGGGGACTAAGTACAGACCATCTCCTAAGGAACACCCGACTGCCGGCTGAGGACACATAGCCGCCGAGATGTCTTTCGTTTTTGAGGTGGAGGGAGAAGTTGTGTTGCCCACATTCTTTGCAGGATCTGATCGCCTATGCCTTTGTCTACAGTGACGCAGAACGGACATCGCGGCGTGCAGAGTGGCTGGCAGCACTGGGCAGGCGGCCCTGTGGGCACAGCCTGTTGGGATGGGGGAGGGGTGGCTTGGGCAGGTGCAGGTCTGTGTGGGCCATGGGAGGAGGGAGAGCTTGTGCGGTCAAGTGGAGAAGCCCCGAGGGTCTGTATGGCCACCCGTCCTGTGGCCCTGTGGCCCAGAGGCCCTCGGGTTCCTTGTAAAGTGCCTGCTGCATCAATAAAGCTCTTGGCTTCTTAGTATCCGTATGGTGCTGGGCCTCATGTATGTGTTAGGCGGGACACAATGGGAACAGGTGACTCTGGCTGTTCAGAAGCCCCACATGGGAGGAGCAGACATCCATGTCTGTCCTCACCCGGCTGTCCCCGGCGAGCAGGGTGTGGCCACTTGCAGGCCCTCCTGCTGCAGCACTGTGGCCAGCTGCAGCCACAGCCCAGCGGCATTTTGCTGAGTATTTACTGTTTTTCTTGCCTTTAATGTTTATGATTTTGGGTTGGTGTGACTGTGGATGGCCTCAGGCTCCTGGGCTTGCTGTGGGCAGGAGCTCCCCACACAGCAACTGAGTTGCTTTCTTAATATTTCTTTGAGAGAAGAGAGGCAGTTTCGAGTGAGCTCCTGTTTGCTGGTTCACCTCCCACACGCCCGCAGTGGCCCCAGTGGAGCCAAGAGCTCAGCCCAGGTCTCGGCTGGGAGTAGCAAGGACCCAGTGCTCTGGTCACGCAGGTTATGTGTTCGTGGACAGTGAGATCCACTGGCTGAATTGGGATCCACCCCAAGAACAGGGAAGGAGTGGCCAACATGGGAGCCAGCAAAGGTAACAGGCGATAGACAAGAATGTACATTGGTGGCCTGGCACTGTGGCCTAGCAGCTAAAGTCCTCGCCTTGAATGCCCCGGGATCCCATATGGCCGCCGGTTCTAATCCCAGCAGCTCCACTTCCCATCCAGCTCCCTGCTTGTGGCCTGGGAAAGTAGTTGAGGACGGCTGAAGACTTTGGGACCCTGCACCCATGTGGGAGACCTGAAGGAAGTTCCTGGCTCCCGGCTTTGGATCGGCACAGCACTGGCCATTGTGGTCACTTGGGGAGTGAACCATTGGACAGAAGAGCTTCCTTTCTGTCTCTCCTCTTCTCTGTATATCTGACTTTGTAATAAAAATAAATAAATCTTTAAAAAAAATAAAAATGCGGGCCCGGCGCGGTGGCGCAAGTGGTTAAAGGTCCTCGCCTTGCACGCCCGGGATCCCATATGGGCGCCGGTTCTAATCCCGGCAGCTCCGCTTCCCTTCCAGCTCCCTGCCTGTGGCCTGGGAAAGCAGTCGAGGACGACCCAAAGCTTTGGGAACCTGCACCCGCGTGGGAGACCCGGAAGAGGCTCCTGGCTTCGGATCGGCACAGTATCGGCCCGTTGCGCTCACTTGGGGAGTGAATCATCGGATGGAGGATCTTCCTCTCTGTCTCTCCTCTCTGTATATCCGCCTTTCCAATGAAAAAAATAATAAAAAAATAAATCTAAAAAAATAAATAAATAAAAAAAAAATAAAAATGCACACTGGTATCCCACCAACTCCCAACAGCGAGCTCTGTGAGGGGCAGAGCTGCCCCCATACATGCTGTTCAAGGTCATGGCCACACTTGGTTCGGGGTCCTGATGCTCTTCTGCCCTATAGGCGCCTAGGACCCACTCTGGTCAAATCAGAGCATGGTCCTGCCCCTCGCCCAGCCCCTGCATGGGTCACTGGGACTCCTGGGAGGGGGGACGAGGCTGAGACAAGGACGAAGTACTAAGACACCCTGTCAAGTGGAAGCCACACAGTCGCATTGGAATTGAAGAGCTTTGATCCAAAAGTGTATTGCACCACAAAAGAGTCTCCTACAGCAGTTTTGGGGATATAGTCAGTCCTATGTACAACAGGGATCAAGAGCCAGCATTCAATAAGGGCTGCGTATGCGGCCTTCATACAAGTCACAGGACGCTTCATACAAGCCAAAGTGCATCAGTCACTTACAAAGTCTCTACTCCATTCTTCCTCTTAAAGCTGAGGGAAATTCCACATGCAGGAGGGGACCCTGAATCCAAGTGAGCGCCTCCTCCCTCCCTAAGCAAATACACTCAGGGACACCCTGGGCCAGAACAGCTGGGGGTGGGCTAGAGGAGTCCTGGGGAGGTGGGCCAGCTTCCACACGAGCCTCACCCTCCCAGGCGTAGGCACGTGTGTGCGGCTGCCAGTCCTTCATGAATGAAGGGATCCCGTCTCCTGTGCCCAGCAGGTAAACAGTCCTGTGGACGCCCCAGCAGGAGGCAGGTGACCTGAGGGGCAGGGCAAAGGGGTGCTGGGAAGCCTTGGTGCAGGCCTAGGTTCATCCAGGCTGGCAGCTCTAAGGGCTGTCCCTGTCTATGCACACACTGGGGCTCTGACCCGAAGCACAACAGACACACCACTGTCCATCATGGACACTGACCTAAGTGGAGCTCCAGCCACTCTGGCCTGCCTCATCCGGAGTAAGGGTGTGTCCTTATAGAACAAACCCAGGCTCTTCCGGGCCACCAGGGTCACCAGGACTGTGGCTGTGCTGGCAAGGGAAGTGGCTGTGGACTGGGAGCAGGTGGCATGTAAAAGACCATGGGCAGGAGGAGGGAGGACATGGCCGGGGGAGGGGACGGAGTGGGTTGGGGCGATTGTCTGTGTCGAAGGTGGTGACCCTTGGCCGGGGGCAGGGCTCGGGGTCGCAGCAGAGGTCATGGGGTGCTAGCAGGACCACGGGGACAGGAATCCCAGTGTCAGAATGATTTCCCCTGGATGCCGATTCCTTGAAGGACTTCCGTCAAGTGAATGTTCTGAGACAGAAGACATGTCGATAATAGCAAAGAGCCAAAATGGTTTACCAGCAACCCATCTGGGACAGTTAAGTTCATTCCAAAGGCAATTGAGTGTATTTGGTGCTACACTGGGGGCCTGGACACTGGTTAGTTCTTGCAGTGAAATGCAGACGCAATCAGAAAGCTGCATCTTCCACCAGCGCCTGTCTGCGAGCTGGGAGGCTGGAGGTCTTCCTGAGAGGGCTCCAGACACCTGCCCTGACTCCTCTGTGCCCACACCCCTGAGTGGAGAGTGCCCTGCCCAGCCACCAGCCTGGGACAGGGGCTGGGAACGAGGCGGGTGTCCACAGTGAGACATCGCCCTGGGTGGTCTTCGCCTCCAGCATCCTCTTGAGACGTGACAATCATCATGGGACGACGACCACCACCACCACCTGCTAGGAGCCCGTGCTGTGACTCCACGTGCTAAGGTTTAAGTAGAGGGTTCGGGTGCAGGCGGGGTGCCGGCCGGTCCCCTCCCGCCAGGTGAGTGCCACAGGAGCAGCTCCCTCTGGAGGTGCTGTCAGCCTGCAGGGAAGCGGGCCTTGAGTCTTGTAAACACCGTTCAGACGCTTGTACAAAATACTGCGGTTACAGGGATTAAACACCCACCCGCACCGACATGCCAGGGATCTTCTCACAGAAGCAGCGTCCCCCACGGAGCTCCGTCCCGGCGGCCCCCCTAGGACCATGGTATTCGAGGGCTGGAGATGGAGGGCCGGATACTGCCCTTGGGGGCTGGTTTGGACCCAAACCATGACATCTGCATTGGAAACAGAACAGGTGTCTGAGTGGGGAAGGCCTGGGGCAGGGGTGGAGGCAGCCCCCGCACACCCACCAGCCCGTGACAGAGCCCTTCCCTCCTGCCCTGGCTGTGGGCACAGCACTGACATGAAGACGGCAAGGCCAAGAGCCCTAGTATGGTTGGGGAATGACAGACAAGACAGGTGACAAGGGACTGCTGAGCAAGGGCTGCCAGGTGCCCAGGTGAGCCGCTGGCATGCCTGGCGTGGATGGCGGCCCTGCAAGGCTGCACGGCAGTGGAGAATGCTACCTTGTACTCCAGTGTCTCTCGCAGCATGTTCTCTTCCTCCGGGGAAAAGTTGAGCAGGACTGACACAGCTTTGATGAGATGGAAAGCCTGAAAGGAAGTTTAAGTTTGCTGCCAGGGGCCTGGGAGGAGTGAGGGTGAAGGGAGCAGGTGTTGGAGGGCAGGGGCATTGGGGCTGGGTGGCCACATTTCTTGTTCCTCATTAGCAAGAAGCATGAGGTGGGCAAGCTTCGGGTCTTATGAGGCCGGATAGCGTCCACAGCTCCTTCCCCCAGCTCGGGATCAGCAGGGTTGGGAGAGGGCAGGTGCCAGCCTGCCAGGTGGGCGGGCCAGGGAGCTGGTGCCCTGCTCTGCCTCAACTGCCTATGACCCAGCAGGAGAAAGGGACGCGTGTGCAATTGGTTGGAAGGTGGGGAGGAAGGGGGCGGGGAACCATGCAGGTGCGAGCCGCCCGGCTGCTCAGGACAGCCCCTTTACCTCGGACTCTCGACAAGACATGAATTTTAAGACCACGTGCTTAAGGTACTCAAAGTTGATCTCGCGTGAGTCGTTGAGGTCTGTGTGATTGCTAACCGATGGTGCCATCTGTGACAGCTCAGGGCCAGGCTTCTCCCGGACATCAAAAAGCTCACTGTCAGGTCTGATTTTCTGGAAAGCAAACCCAACCACCACAGGGAAAAGACACTACGTTACAACTTTCAAAAAGGGGCTGAACTCCTCATGGGGACCCACCTGTGTCCCCCTGCTCCCCAAGCCAGCCCAGCGGGGAGCAAGCAGGCTCTCACTGAGAAGCAAGGCCAGAACCCAGCAAAGGGAGTGAGGTCAGTGGGGACTCAGCGAGGCATGGCCCCAGCGCAGTAAGCAGCCCAGCCTGGAGCAGGGGGCACTGTTCTGGTCTGTGAGGAGGTGAACTCTCCTGGAGGGAACCCAAGTCCCAGAGGATGCAGGCTCGGAGGGCAGGCATGTGCCCGGGCTCACAGAGCTCTTCTCAGAGGCAAGTTCCTGTTGGGGGCAGCGTCACACAGGTGGACACCTGACTTGCCAGAGACCCCCAGGATTGGCTAGAAGCAGGGACCGATGGGGTCCGGTGGCCAAGCACTCACCAGCTCCCTCTGCAGGGTCTTCTTCAGCTCCAGCATTCTCTGTTGCATCTGCTTTATGGTCTGTGACAAAGCACCCCCCATCCCCAGGAAAAACCCATGTGGACATGTCCGTGCACATGGCTCTGCCCTCAGAGGCCCATGTTCAGCCCCTATGGCCAAGGCCGTGTTGCAACCCAGGTGGCTAGCATTCTGTCACATTCCCTCCCAGGGCTGCCGTGGGCCCCTCTAGGCTCAGCGCTCGGGTCAGCATCCTGGGCTGGCCCTGAAGGTAACACTGCTACAGCTGCAGTACAGGATCTCTGGTCCATGACAGTGGGGTTCAAGACCTTGTATCCCCAGAGAGGGTCAGGCCAGGCCTTGCAGTCCTCACCCTGTCTCTCCTGAAACACTGCAGGCACAGGCAAGGCTTACTTTTTTTTTTTTTAATTGGGAAAGGTGGATATACAGAGAAGAGAGGAGAGACAGAGAGGAAGATCTTCCGTCTGATGGTTCACTTCCTAAGTGAGCCCAACGGCTGCAGCTGAGCTAATCCGAAGCCAGGAGTCAGGAATTTCTTCTGGGTCTCCCACATGGGTGCAGGGTCCCAAGGCTTTGGGCCGTCCTTGACTGCTTTCCCAGGCCACAAGCAGGGAGCTGGATGGGAAGTGGAGCTGCTGGGATTAGAACTGGCGCCCATATGAGATCCCGGCGCATGCAAGGCAAGGACCTTAACCATTATGCTATCGTGCTGGGCCCCAAATCAATTTTCTAAAAGAGAAAAAGAAAAACCCAGTATTGCTGTCCTGCAACGAGGGACCTGGTGCACGAAGCTGATAATAACACGCATGGACTCTAATTGGTGGTCATATAGGCTAAGGGAGGAAGTATGGAGCTTATCAACAAAACCCATCAACTCTTTCTATACTTTTGTTTGGAACTTTTTTGTTTTGTATATTCCACCAAGAGTCCTCATTCACATGCTGTCCACTCAACTGTCCTTGTACAAGTGATATCCATGTAGCTATATGAATGGCACCCACTCTTTTCATACAAGTATTATCCTATCAGTTGTCATCCTGTGCTCGCTGACATTCTAGGGTCACAGTGTCCCTTTACAAGTGTGGGAGATCTGGAAAGAAGTTCCTGGATTCTGGCTTTGGATTGGCACAGCACCGGCCGTTGCAGATGCTTTGGGGAGTGAATCATCAGATGGAAGATCTTCCTCTCTGTCTCTCCTCCTCTCTGTACATCTGCCTTTCCAATAAAATAAATAAATCTTAAAACAAAAAAAAGAAAATTTATTTGAAAAGCAAGTGACAAAGAGGGAAAGAGAGCATCCATGTGCTAACTTACTCCCCAATGGCTGCGGGTGCTGGGGCTGGGCCGGGGGGAGCCAGCAGCCACGACCCTATGCTGGTGTCACACATGGGTGGCTGAGCCTAAGGACTTAGGTCATCTTCACTGCCGCCTGGGCGCATCAGCAGGACAGTGGACTGGAAATACCAGCCCCCTTTTACTTTTTTTCTTTAAGATTTATTTTTATTATGTTTTTATTGGAAAGGTGGATATACAGAGAGGAGAGACAGAGAGGAAGATCTTCCGTCCGAAGATTCACTCCCCAAGTGAGCACAACGGCCGATGCTATGCCGATCCGAAGCCAGGAGCCTCTTCCGGGTCTCCCACGCGGGTGCAGGGTGCCAAAGCCTTGGGCCGTCCTCGACTGCTTTCCCGGGCCACAGGCAGGGAGCTGGAAGGGAAGCGGGGCCGCGGGATAGAACCGGCGGCCATATGGGATCCCGGGCATGCAAGGCGAGGACTTAACCACTTGCGCCACCGCGCCGGGCCCCTTTTACTTCACTCTTAACAATAACAAGTGAGTTCAGTTAGTATTACGGGCCTAAGTGTCATTTTTTGCAGGTTTCATCATCTGCTAGACTACAGGACACTTCCCAATTCAAAAATTTATAATATAATTACCAATTTGAACTCAAACTTTCTCCAGGGGGTGCTGTTTGGGGCAGCAGTGAAGACGCTGCCCAAGATGCCCCCAGCCCGTGGCAGAGTGCCTGGCTTTCCCATGCCCCTCCTGGTTCCACCTTCACCATTCTGTCCATGCAAGCCTGGGGGGCATCAGGTGCTGAGGGTCCCTGCCACCCACACTGGAGACCTGGACCGAGTCCCAGCGATGCTGTGGATATTCCCTAAGTAAACCAGCAATGGAGAACTGTCATTGCCTCTCAATTCAAAAGAAACTGGAAGTTCTCCACAAGTCTCACAACTTTCAACACCAAAGTGAGTGCCACCTGTATACTTCCAATTTATCTCTACATTCTTACATCGAGCGGCTGGAATCCTCAAAATTCTTTTTACTTGTTAGTTTTCAAGGATTTCTAAAGTTTTCTTAATTATTATTTTAACATAACAGTTAAGCCCATGTCTTATGAATTTTCATTCTTATTTTATAAAAAATTATTTATACATTTGAAAGACAGAGACAGTGACCTTCTATGCACTGGTTTACTTCCCAAATGACCACAATGGACAGGGCTAGCCGAGCCAAAGCCCTCAGCTGGGGACTCCATCTGGGTCTCCTGTGTGGGAGGCAGGGCCCCAGCACTCGGGCCATCTTCTGCTGCTTTCCCAGGCGCATTAGCAGGGACCTGGATCAGAAGTGCACTAGCTGGGGCTTGATCTAGTGCCCAAATGGGATCCCAATGTTGAAGGGGTCCACTTCACTGGCCCTGATTTTTATTTTCAGACCAAGCTGGAACAGGCTTCACTTACTCAGGAAGTGGGGAAGGACACCCCAGGTTCCCCAAGGACCCTGGAATGTTCCTGGCCCCTGTCTTTCTGGGCATTCCTGGAGACCTGTAGAGAGGCCACCATCTTCTCTTGGCTGACTGTGAGGCTAAAGCGCCCCCTAAAGGTGGATTACTGTTTCCTGTGACTGCTCAGCTCTTGATGTTAATCCCATCAACACTTTTCAACTTTCGGGGAGGTGCCAGGACAAAGCAATTTCAGCTCCCGGGGGTCAGCACTGTGGCACAGCACAGTAAGCCTCAGCCTGTAGTGCTGACATTCCAAGATGGGCAATGGTTCAAGTTCCAGGTATTCCATTTCTGATCCAGTTCCCTGTTAATGTGACTGGAAAAGCAGTGAAAGATATCCCAAGTGATTGGGCTCCTGTAACTGCATGAGAGAACTGGAAGAAGCGCCTCACTCCCAGTTTCAGCCTGGCCCAACTCTGGCTGTTACAGCCATTTGGGAAATGAACCAGAATGAAGATTCTTTTTTTCTCTCTTTCTGTAAATCTACCTTTCAAGTAAAAATAAGTAAATCTTTAAAAGCAATTACAGCTCTCAATAAGGAAGAATGAATTTCAGAGCACAGAGCCAAGCAGAAGGTGCAAAGAGAAGAGCTGCAAGAGAAGCAGCGAGGAAGCAGCTGAGTGGTGAGGGTTCTGTGAGGCAGGGCAGGGCGTGCTGACAAAGCCATACTGTGAGGAAGGAGGGGCCATCAGGACGACTCTTCCCGACAGAGCTCGACGGGTGCAAAGGTCCTGAGGCGGGAGGCGCTGCACTGAGAGGTCAAGCCAGTGTGGCTGTCTGGAGTGAGAAGGCTGCTGAAGAACAGGATGACGCCACACTCCACACGCCGCTGCAAGGACCATAGTGACAGAGGAGCAAGGGGCAGAAGTTCAAGGCCATCCTCCAGAGAAGCAAGGAGGAGTAGGCTAGGCGGTGGTGATGAGGCCAAAAGGGCCTGCTCCTGATCCGGACCTGCAGGTAAAGAGCCACAGGGCTGAGGAGGCCAGGGCTCACTGAGGACAGAGTCGGGCATGGCAGCAGCGGAGTGGCTGTGCAACTGCTGACACCGAGGCACGGCTTTCAGGGCGCAGGCCTTGGAGACCTTCTAGGCACTCAAGAGGCAGCATGGACAGAGGCTCGGCTTGGGTCTGCAGGGCCATCTGAGCTGCAGACAGGTGGGAGGGGACAGCAGCACAGGGCATGGGTGACAACACCATGACAGCAATGCAATTTGAGGTCAAGGCTGGCCAGCCCCAGAGTTCTTCTTAACAAAAAAAAAAAAAGAGCTGGGCCCAGTGGCGTGGCCTGGCAGCTCCCCTTCAAGTCCTTGCCTTGAATGCGCCGGGATCCCATATGGGCGCGGGTTCTAATCCCGGCAGCTCCACTTCCCATCCAGCTCCCTGTTCGTGGCCTGAGAAAGCAGTCCAGGATAGTCCAAAGCTTTGAGACCCTGCACCTGTGTGGGAGACCCAGAAGAAGTTCCTGGATCCTGGCTTCGGACCGGCATAGCATCGGCCATTGTGCTCACTTGGGGAGTGAATCATCAGACAGAAGATTTTCCTCTCTGTCTCTCCTCTTCTCTGTATATCTGACTTTCCAATAAATAAATACATCTTTAAAAAAACAAAAAAAAAATGCAACTATGGTGTAGTGGGTAAAGTTGCCACCCCGTGACACCACAGCATCCCACATGGGCACCAGTTTGTGTCCTGGCTGCTTTAGCTCTGTTGCAGCTCTCTGCCTGAGGCCGTGGAACCCTGCACCTGCGTGGGAGACCTGGAAGCTCGTGGCTTCAACCTGGCCCTCCTCCAAGTGTGGGGCCATGTGCAGTGAAACAGCTCGTTTCTGCCTCTCCTTTTCTCTGCCTTTCAAATAAAAAGAAAATGAATCTTAACAGCAAAAAAAAAAGAAGCCAGTAAGCCTGGAAGCCACGATGGTGGGCAGAGCAGGAAGACCCTGAATGTGGCAGGACTGCAGAGCAGGCGGGCCCTGCACTGGGTACAGCAGTCCTGGGACTACCGGCCAGAGGGTCCATGCCTCCTGCAGCCATGCTGGGGTGACATCACCACAGCTGAGACAGGGCCAGGAGTTTGGGAAAGGAGATGGGCCAGGCAACTGAGGCTGCGCAGCAGGTGAGGGACTCTAAGCCGGGCAAGGAGTGCAGACAAGCTCTGTGCCTGGGGAGGACAGTGGTCCCCCAGACAGGAGATCTTACGGGGCACACATGAGGTTCCCCCAGAGGCATGACTCAACATGAGCCTTCAGGAAACAAGCCGGGCTGCTCCACTTAGAGAGGAAAGTGAGGCAGCCACTTCCACCACGGCCAGCAGCATGGGGGTGGCGGGGAGGAGGGGTCTTGGCTTTGGGAATATGTTCTGCTTCACATCTGTGCCTGGTTTTTGGCTGATTCATGGAGCTATGTTTGTTTTGAACACATTTCTGTGTGTATTCTGCACTTTGCGGTAAGAGACATGGAGAGTTTTTGTTTTCTTAGAAAATACGCAGTTTCTGGCCAGAGCACTAAGCCATCAGCACATGAAGCTGTCCGGCGAGGTGGCCCCAAGGGGACTGGGGTGAGCCCGCAGTGGGTCACTGACCCCACCAACAGCACCACATGTTGGACTGAGAGTAACATCCCCTCCTCTCCCACCAAACACACCTCCAAATCAGAAGCAGGAAGGGGTGCTGAGGGTGCGTGACCCCAGGACCATGTACTGTGCAGGCTGGAGCCCCCGATGGTATGTCAAGGGGACAGGGAAAGGGAGTGTACAGAGGAAGATGGAAGCCCTTCTGACTAAAGAAGTTCCAGAGAGCACCAAGAAAGCCCTTTCAAGGTGGCTGATATCACAGGCTGGGACGGAGAGGGGTAAAGACTGTTAAGGTCAAGGGCGCCCTCACCTTGTTCTTCTCGGTCAGCTGCTGCTCCAGGTCCTGCTTCTCCTTCTGTAACTTCCCTAGCTCCAGAGCCCCCAGCTCACCATTTGGCATTCCACCTGCAGCTGGAAGCTGGTACGCAGGATCTTGCGTGGTCTTTGAGCTCACCTGCAGGGTAGGGGCGGCTGGTTAAGAGCTGAGCCACATGCGTGTGCCGGAGGGGAGTGGGCTTCTTTCACTGGTGTGGCCTGGTGGGTGGCGCCAGGCAGCCAGTGCCTGTTGGAGAAGGCCAAGTCAGCGCCTGCCTGAGGGTCAGTCAGCTTCCCTCGTGGTATCTGTGGTGCTTTCCACTCACGTGGGCAGGTGTGGCTATGTACAAGGGCTTTCAGGCTGCACAGCCTCCGCCCAGCGGCCACTGTCCCGGGGCCGCGCTGCTGGTGGGACTTACGTGCAGTGTGCTGGGCAGCCTCAGCAGGTCCTCCTGGGCCGCGGTTTCCACTGCCCGCAGGCCCCTCAGTACCTCCAACTCACTCTGCAGCTGGCGCAGCTGCAGCAGGGCTGACTCGTGACCTGGCATGGGCACAGATCAGGGGCGCTGCATGAGCCGGGCCTGCGGACAGTGAGGGGCCGCATGGGACAGGCCCGCTGGCTTGGCCGGAGCTGATTCCTCACCTTTCTCTAGCTCCACAAGCTCCCGCTCCTTCTGCAGAAGCACCTGGGATGTTTCCCGCAGACTGTGTTCCTTCTCCTCCATCGCAGCTGTCAGGCTGGTGGTCTGGGAGGGAGGCGGTGGCGTAAAAGGGTCTGTGGCCACAGCGGCCCCTCCTCCCGGAAGCTGTCGGATGGTCACTCAGGGACTGAGAGCCTCCGGGAGGGCCGCAGTCAAGGCAGCCTCTGTTCCTGTCTGTGTGCTCACGTTCCTTCTCTTTCCACTGTCCCCTGGCCATCAGCCAGCCAGCCAGGGCCAGGCCATTCTGCCCAGGCCTGCCCCGCACTGTCATGATGGTCACTTCCTACTCCTGAGCACCTGTCAAGGCCCACACCAGGTGAGTGCTTGAGACATCCTCACTCAGTTTCTTACGTGAAAGGTGTGGACTATATGGCTAGCTCATCCCAGACGGGGATCCCTGTGCAGCCCCTGCTCTGCCAGAAGGGGCCGCCCCGCGGGCCCCTGGGGAAGGAGGCTGCTTCTCCCAGCAGCGGAGCCTCGCCCCGTTGGTCCCCAGCCCAGCAGGGCATGGGGGCCCACCTACCTGTTGCTGAAACTCCTCCCTTTGCTTCCGCACCTCCTCCAGGGCTTGGGCCATGGCCACACTCACAATTTCTCTTTGGCTCCATTCTTCCTAGAACCCAGAAAAGAGGTAGGAGAGTAAACTCCACACCAGGGCATGTCCCTGAGCTGCAACCTCCTGCGCAGCCCTGCAGGGTCAGAGATGTCGGGGCCACCTGCCTCCCTCTGGAGCTGTCTAGGTAGACAAGTACATTTGCTTCCCAGCAAAGGGCACATCATGGAAGGCGTGTCCTGTGGGCACCCTGGCCAGTACCCAGGCCCAGGTAATGGAGCTCATCAAACTGGTTTTATAAAGCCAGAACAGGGACCCTGCACGGTAGCCTAGCGGCTAAAGTCCTCGCCCTTGAAGGCGCCGGGATCCCATATGGGGGCCAGTTCTAATCTCGGCAAGCTCCACTTCCCATTCAGCTCCCTGCTTGTGGCCTGGGAAAGCAGTTGAGGACAGATCAAAGCCTTGGGCCCCTGCATTCATGTGGGAGACCCGGAGGAAATTCCTGGCTCCTAGCTTTGGATTGGCTCAGCTCTGGCTGTTGTGGCTGCTTGGGGAGTGAATCAACAGACGAAGATCTTGCTGTCTCTCCTCCTTTCTGTAGATCTGACTTTGCAATTACAATAAATAAATCAAAAAGAAAAAAAAAAAAAAGAAAAGCAAGCACAGGTCCAGGAGACTTGAGAACTGAGTGCACAGGGCGTGGGCCCAGGGCAGCTGGGTCACAGGGAACAATCCTGAGCGCTGACCGACTTTCTATAGGGCAGAATGTCACTAGTTCATGCGAATCAGCTTGTCGCACAGGAGAGAAGTGTGGCTCTGAGAACTTCGGTCATTTGCCCAAGGTCCTGGAGCCACATTTAGGAGACAGCCAGCACCTTTGGACATTAGGGCTCCAACCCTAGGCCTTTCCAACCAACAGGCAGAGTGCCCCGTGGCCCCCAGGGGCTGCTGGCTGCTCCAGGGGAAGCCCCGGGGAGTGCGGTGAGATGTCCTGCTCCTGGCTCTGCTCTCAACTTCCACATGGTCTGCAGGGCTGTCAACCAGGAAACCCTGATTCTGTGGCATGGGACTTAGATCCGGCCAATCACAGTATCTCATTTTTTTTTGCTGTTGTTAAAGGTTATTTTTCCTTTAAAAATTTATTTTTATTTGAAAGGAAAAGTTAAAGAGAGGACAGACAGATGCTGCCTTCACTGGTTCACTCCCCTAATGACTGCAATGGCCAGAGCTGGGGTTGGTCCAAAGGCAGCAGCCAGGGGTTTCTTTGGGTCTTCCATGTGGGTGCAGGAGCTCAAGCACTTGGGTCCTCCCCTGTTGCCTTTCCAGGCCATTAGCAGGAAGCCTAATCAGAAGTGGAGCCTCTGGGATTAGAACTGGCACTCATATGGGATACTGGCATCATGGGATCACTGGCATCATGGGATCCCAGCACATGCAAGGCGAGGACTTTAACTATTACGCGCCAGGCCTGACTAGCTAATCTTTAAGTTGAACTTGGTATGGCCCATGAATGATGCTATAACTACACGAGTTAGCCCAACACTCTGTAATCCATGTTGAGCCCATCAGCTTGTTGAGCTGCAGCTAAGCAGAAACACCTTGCCTGGGGGCTGCAAGCTGGGGGATGCTGGGCAGCGTCCACCCAGTCTGCAGGGACAGGGAGAGCAAGGATGCCCCCTGGGTTAGCTGAACAGCAACGCAGGCAGAGGGCCCCAGTTCCGGTGGTCGTCCTGCTGGTTATGGGAGTTGCCCACCTCTTCCAGGACAGCTCACTCTCCCTTTCCACCTAAGCCAGACCCCCGTGCGGGCGGTGGGGCACTCAGCCTCGGGGAGGTGACATACCTGCTCCTGGTGGCCCACCTCGGAAGCCTGGAGGGGGGACCTGGGACACTGCAGATAACAGCCTGCCAGGGGCTCTCCACACTCCCAACCACAGCTGGATACATGAAGAGAAAATCTTCATGCTCCATGGAGAAGGGGGTGGGCAGGAGGGAGGGTGACATAAATGCAACATTCTCTCAAGAGCTTTTGTGAGGAAATTTTTTTAAAAAGATTTGTTTATTGGGCCTGGTGCGGTAGCTTAGCAGTTAAAGTCCTCGCTTTGCACGCACTGGGATCACATATCGGCGCCGGTTCTAATTCCAGTGGCCCCGCTTCCCATCCAGCTCCCTGCTTGTGGCCTGGGAAAGCAGTTGAGGACGGCCCAAAGCCTTGGGATCCTGTGCCCCTGCAGGGAGACCAGGATGAGGCTCAGCTTCAGCTGTGTGGCCACTTATGGAGTAATTCAGCGAACAGATCTCTGTTTCCTCCTCTCTGTAAATCTGACTTTCCAATAAAACAAACCTTAAAAAAATTTATTTATTTAACTTGAAAGGCAGTGAGACAGAGTTCTTCCACCCATTGTATCAAATGAGCACAACAACCAGAACTGGGCCTGTCTGAAACGGGGAGCCAGGAGTTCCTTCTAGGTCTCCCACATGGGTGTAGGAGCCCAAGCACTTGAGCCATTAGCAGGGAGCCGGACAGAACTACAATGGGCATCCATATGGCATGGCAGTGCCACAGGTAGAGGAGGAGCATACTATGCCACGGTGCCGGCCCCAAGTGGGCAAATTTTGGAAGTGACCTTTAGCCTAGGAGCACAGGAGGAAGATCACGTACGAGGGCATGGGAAAGAGTGAAGCGTGGGGAACCGACTTATGTCAGCATTGTCCTACAGAACTAAACAGGTACGTCCCCTCCAGTCACCTTTGACCCTCAGAGGAATCCTTCTGCGGTCGTAGGTTAACATCTTCCACTCAGAACCCCAGAGCCAGCCAATGAGGGAGTGGGCCTTCCACACCTGCATGTCACATCCCTGGCCCCAGTCCCGGCTTCCTGCTAACGCAGACCCTGTAAGAGAGCTCCAGCTGAGGCCCTGCTACCCACGTGGTCATCTGGACTGAGTTCCTGCCTCCCAACACTTGCGGGCTTTTTTTCTTTTTTATTGCAAAGCATATTTAGAGAGACAGATATTTCATCTGCTGGTTCATTCTCCACATGGAGACACTTCACTTTCAATCCAGCTTACTGCCTGGGGACAGCACCAGCAGGTGGTCCACACACATTTGGGCTCCTGCTACCCACATGAGACCCAGAAAAAGCTCCTGGCTCCTGACTCAGGCCTAGCCAAGCCCTGCTCACTCTGGCCCTTCGGAGAGTGAACCAACAGATGGAAGATTTCTCTCTGTCTCTCATTCACGTGGGAGACCTGGAAGAAGCTCCTGGCTCCTGGCTTTGGATCGGCTCAGCTCTGGCTTGCACAGCCACTTAGGGAGTAACTAGCAGACGGAATCTTTCTCTCTGTGTCTCCTTTTCTTTGTATATCTGGCTTTCCAATAAAAATAAATAAATCTTAAAAATATTTTTTTCTCATTTCCTTTTGGATTTTTTTAACCAGATAACACGGAAACATAGTTGTTTATTTTTAATTAATTAATTTTCATTTTATTTGCGATGCAGAGACAGACACAGGGCTAGATGAGCACTATCTCCCTACTGCTGACATCCTCTAGATGTCTGACACAGCTAGGACCAGGCCAGGCCAGAAGCCACGAGCCCAGAACTTAACCTTAGTCTGCAAGGTGGGTGGCAGGGACCGAACTACATGAGCCCTCAGTAACAATACCCCAGGGGATGTGCTGGCAAGCAGCTAGACTGAAAGCAAAGTAGCCAGAATTTATAATAGGCACTCCAATACCAGATATGGGCATCCCAGGGAGTGACAGCTGTGCCACAAGCCCACCTAAGGAAGTACTTCTGTTCACTGCATTACAAGATGTATTTATTTATTTTTTGTTGGAAAGGAAGACTGAGAAGGAGAGACTGAAAGATCCTCCATCCACTGATTCACTCTCCAAGTGGACACAATGGCCACAGCTGAGCTGATCTGAAGCCAGGAGCCAGAAGTTTCTTCAGGGTCTCCCACACAGGTGTAGGGTCCCAAGGTTTTGGGCTGTCCTCAACTGCTTTTCCAGGCCAGAAGAAGGGAGATGGATGGGAAGTAGAGCAGCTGGTACACGAACTGGAGCCCATCTGGGATCCTGGCACTTGAAGGGAGAGGATTAGCCAATGAGTCATTGCGTTGGGCTCAAAAGGCAGCTTTTCATACTGTTTAAAATGATTGACTCCTAGTTTAATTACCTTATGGTCAGAGAATATAACTTTACAGCAGTTCAACCTGCTGAAACTTCTGGAGACTTGCTTTACAGGCAATCTTTCCATACATCATATGTACATGTAAAAGGCTATTTCTGGGATTCTTAAAAAGGTTGTGGAAAAGGGATTAAATGGTAACTTTCAGTATTTCCTCAGTTTTAATTATCCATTTAATTCATGTAATCATGTCTGATTTTGATTTCTGTTAGCCAAAAATTACAGAGAGGTACCAGGGATCACAGAGACCATCACTGTAGTGACCAGGCCTACAGATTACTGTCATTAGCCATTTAGCTAGCCCTCCACACACACACACACACACACACACACACACACACACAGTCACGTGTCATTCAGCTAGCCCTCCACACACACACACAGTCACGTGTCATTCAGCTAGCTCTCCACACACACACAGTCACGTGTCATTCAGCTAGCTCTCCACACACACACACACAGTCACGTGTCATTCAGCTAGCCCTCCACACACAAACACACAGTCACGTGTCATTCAGCTAGCCCTCCACACACACACACACACACAGAGTCACGTGTCATTCAGCTAGCCCTCCACACACACACACACACAGTCACGTTTCATTCAGCTAGCCCTCCACACACACACACACACACAGTCACGTGTCATTCAGCTAGCCCTCCACACACACACACAGTCACGTGTCATTCAGCTAGCCCTCCACACACACACACACACAGTCACGTGTCATTCTCCACGTGGGCCAGAGGAAGCCTTTTCCAACAAACTTCTCACAGCTTACCTGTGCAACAGTCTCCCCATGCACCTTCTAATCCCTGCCTACTTTCTCCCCCCACCACCAATTAAAGCCACAACAGCCTCTGTATTCTCTTTCAACAGACCAAGCTCCTCACTCTAGTGGGCCTTTGCATCTGTCATTTCTTTTGTCTGGAGCACTGCTCCTCAAGAAGCCACTCACATGCTTGTCCCTTCTCACTATTCCCATCCTCTGCTCCTCGTCGCCGGAAGCTTCCTTAACCACCATGCTGAGAAGTGCCCTCTCTCCCTCCTCTGTCTGTCCTTTGCTTGGACTTCCTCTTCACAGCATTATCTTTCATCCCTAACTTACTGTCTCCAGGTACTAGTGCAGGGGCGGAGGGGGAGGGGAAGCTGCCTGTTTTGTTCAGAGCCACATTTCCTCAAACTACACTGAGGGCTGGCACTTGCAGGTCCTTGAATTTATTGAAGGATTACATGACAAAGCAAGTGACTTCCAAGTTCACGCTTCCCACCACGCAGGCTCTATGGCATGAGTGCCCGCACTATTAACCGAACTCATCCAAGGTGCAGGCACTCAGTCATGACTGCTGGCAGAGAAGATCCTAGTGCAGGCAGCATGCTGGGTGAGTACTGCCATCACGTACCAACTGAGATGCTGCGTCAAGGGCCTGGGGAGCCAGGAGACCTGCAGGAAGCGCACGGAGGGGAAGGTGCTGCAGTGCCCAAGCTGAAGCTGCCGTGTCGGGTGTCTGCACCCCACACTGGAATGCCTGGGACTTAGTACTCCTTGTGTTTTGGACCCCCCAAGGAACCCAGACAGAGCTCCTAGCAGCTGTTGGTCTTGACCAGCCCCAGTTCTTTGGCGGCTTTGGAGAATTTCGGAGAGCTCTTTCTCTCAGCCCTCTCTGTTCTTTCAAATAAATAAAAACAAATAATTTTTTTAGATTTATTTTATTTATTTTTTAATTGTAAAGTCATATACACAGAGAGGAGAGACAGAGAGGCAGATCTTCCATCTGATGATTCATCCCACAAGTGGCCGCAACGGCCAGAGCTGAGCCGATCTGAAGCCAGGAGCCTGGAGTTTATTCTGGGTCTCCCATGTGGGTACAGCATCCCAAGACCTTGGGCCATCCTTGACTGCTCTCCCAGGCTACAAGCCAGAGCTGGATGGGAAACGTGGCCGCTGGGATTAGAATTGGTGCCTATATGGGATCCTGGTGCATGCAAAGCAAGGACATTAGCTGCTAGACTACTGCTCCAGGCCCAAATGATTAAAATTTTAAAGATACGGGCTTTCTTCTCTTAGGTCCACAGCCCAAATCCTTGGGACACTGAACCTAAGTGGGAGACCCAGAAGAAATTCCTGGCTCCTGGCTTCGAATTGGCTCAGCTCCAGCCGTTGTGGCCACTTGTGTTGGGGGGGGGGGTGTGGATCACCTGATGCAAGATCCTCCTCGTCTCTCCTCCTTTCTGTATATCTGACTTTCAAACAAACAAACAAACAAGCACAAACAAACTCAAATTTACAAAAGGGAAGGCCATGTGTATTCCTTACTGCACATGAACACACATGGATCCTTGTGAACTTCAAAGCCCTGTCTTGAAGCACGACTTTCAGGACGCTATTGATACTAGCACAGAGGAGTTGCTGGGCCTTGGTGGTCCAAGGCTAGACCAGACCCACCTGCACCTCACTATGGATCTGCGACCCAATGACTTACACACAGAACCTCGAGGACACTGAGAGCCAAATGGGTGTCATTCCCCATCACTCTGGATCTGAGAGGACACGAGGACGGTGTGAACAGCTGCCTGACACAACTGCTGACCACAGACGTGGTCCATGCGCTCTCTGTAACTGTAAATGTGGAATGTCACCTTGCCCATGCCAAGCACACGTGGCAAGACTGGAATGCTTCTGTGAAACTCTGCGTCACTCAGATAAATACCTTCAGCTTCTTCAGTTCACCCTGATGGTGCTGTAAAGAGTGCTCACATTCATTCCTGCTCTCCTTAAGGGCTGCGTTTTCTTCCCTCAGTTCTCGCTGCAAGTGAAGCAGAGCGGCTGTGAGCAGAGAAGCCCTTCACTCCCACAGAGCCCAGGCGCAGTCCCCTGGCATAGCCTTCACGTGCCAACTTTGAAAGGCCACTCTTTTTGTTTTTGGTTACTGCAGGGGTGGCAAGAGAATGCAGGTGGGGCTGAGAAAGATAGAACTTGAAAATCTCCTACGAAGGAGTGAGGCACATGATTTCAGACACCATGGGATGGGAGAGAAACTGTGTGAGGGAAAAGCCATTCAGGAGGAGTGATGTGAAATTCAGAAAGCATCAGAAGGTTATGTGGGCCTAAGGAAAGAGAAAACGCATCCGTGCAGGTCCTCCGGCCTTTGCACTCTGGTTCTTGCAAGCAGGTGCCTCCTGGGAACGGAAGACTGATCTGGCAAGTGGCGGAAGCTCAACAAGGGGCTTCCTGCTGAGCCTGGGCAGACCCGGCTGGGCAGGGGCCTGACACCCCATGGGGTCTCCCTGCACTCACGAAACACTCACCATCCTTTGCTCCGCGGCTGTCTGGTCAGCTGCCCGTGCGACCTCCAGAGCAGCGAGCTGGGCCTCGAGGGTGTGGGTGCGCTCCATACATTGCTGCCGCACGTTGTCACTCTCCTGGTTTGCAGCAGCCTGCAGGCACACCAGTGGACAGTCGGTCTAGAGGGAGCCCTATTCTGGTGACTGCCAGAAATAGTGCTTCAGGGCCAATGTTGTGACAAAGCTAGTTAAGCCCTTGCCTGCTATGTTGGCATCCTGTACAGACATCAGTTCAAGTCCCAGCTGCTCCATTTTCATACCAGCTCCCTACCAGTGCTTGGGGTGATCTGAACAGAGACCCAGTCCCCTACTTGTCACAGCCACTTGGTAAGTAGACCAGTAGATGAAAGATTTCTCTCTGTATCTTCTTGTTACTCTCTTTCAAATAAATGAACGAATATTTGGAAGAAATAATGGATATAAAAAGAAAAAAGGAACAAGGCTCCCTCCTGTGGCCCTGCTTGATTGCAAATCCAGCTGCTCCTGGTTCTTGGCCTGTCCTGGCAGACAGAGTGTGGCCTGGATGCCATCATCCCTCGGGGCAGTGGGCACAGCACTCAGTACAAGCCAGTCCTCAGACACGGCCTTTCCTGCTGCTGCTCAGTGTCGGCACCCTCACAGTGGTGAAAGCCAGGGTGTTGCCCTAATGAAGGTGTGGGTGCTGCCACTGACTGGGCTGTAAGACATTCAATGTTTGAGTGACACAGGACTACCAGGACTGTCCCCTCTGCCACGTGAGCTGCTATGCTGAGGACTGACTTCTGACACGCGCATGGCCTCCTCACAGCGCCTGGCTGCTGCACACGTGAGACATGCTGGCTGCTCTAATCTCCCTGGCTCCTAACTCAGCAACCCGACTGGGGCTGAGCCCTCGACATCACAGGTGCTCTCCATGTTCCTGCCTAAGAGCCCGGAGCTGGGCAGGGCTTGACAGCCAAGACAGGTGGACGCAGCCCATCAGCCCACCTCGCTGCAGAATTCAGGCCCCACAGCAGCTCCTGCCTCCCTATTCCTGCTACTGCAGATGGCGCAAGGGAGCCTGGGGCAGTGGCCAGGCATCGGGGAGAGCATGGCGGGCTGGCCTGCAGCAGCCGCAGGGACCACTCACCAGCTGCTGGATCTGCGCCTCCTGGGCAGCCACGACGTCGCTGCTTTGCCGGAGCCTTTCCTCAGAGGCCTGCAGAGTTGCCTCGAGGTCCTTCACCTGGAAACAGAGCATTCCTTCTGTTCAGGATGCTGAGCATGGAATCCATGGCTTTAAAATGCAAGCTAATTCAGATAATGACACAGCCGCACCACAGAAAAAGTCAAAGGAGAAAAACCTCACCCATAATCCTGTTATATAGCATTCTATATAGCATTCTACTGTCTTTTCATTCAATTCTTTTTAAATTACGTGGGTTTCTTCAATTTTGTTTATAGTTTTAATGAAACAATATAAAACTTTCTATATTTCCCCCTCAAGTTTCCTGCTGTGTTTAATCTTGAGACCCTAAACTATTTTCAAAGTGTTTTATAATTTCAGACCTGCCAGCCCTTGGGTTCATTTCTTTTTGCCTAAAATATTGCAAGTTAACATTTTCAGAGGACTTGTCTACCCGGCTTTAATCATTTCCTTCACACAGATCTTACCAGCTGCAATGCCAGTATCTGATTCGGGCACCAATTTGTGTCCCACTTACAACCCAGCTCCCTGCTAATGCACCTGGGGAAGCAGCGGAAGATGGCCCAAGTCCATGTATCCCTATACCCTCAGGGGAGACGCGGATGAAGTTCCTGGCTGTTATGACTGTTGAAGAGTATACTGGAGAAGGAAATATCTCCTTTTCATTCTCCTTCTCGCTCTAACTTTTTATTTTAAATTATTTTTCTAAAGAATTTACTGTTTTTTTTTTTTATTGGAAAGGCAGATTTACAGAGAGAAGGAGAGACAGAGAGAAAGATTCTCTGTCTGCTGCTTTACTCCCTAAGTGGCTGCAACTGCTGGAGCTAAATCAATCCAAAGCCAGGAACCAGGAGCCAGGAGTTTCCTTTGGATCTCCCAAGTGGGTATAGGGTCCCAACGCTATGGACCAATGCTCTGGTGCCTTCCAGGTCACAAGATGGGAAGTAGATCAGCTGGGACATGAACTGGCGCTCACATGGAATCCCAGCATAATGCAAGGAAAGGATTTTAGTTACTGAGCCATCGTGCCAGGTCATGTAACTGACTTTCAAATACGTAATACATAACATAAATCCATGCCAAAAAAAAAAGAAAGAAAGAAAGAATTTCTGCTCACAGAGAATCAAGATGGCACAATAGCGTAAGAACATGCTTAAACATATGGAAAAACATTAGCCAGTGTGAAACAGAGAGGGCACATTCCAGGAAATAGAAGAGGACAGAACAACAGCAAAGGGGTACCTGGAGACTGACAGACACAGGAAACCAGTGGAGACAATGGTGTGGTGTTGCAGTGACCAATACTCCAGTGGCATTCAGTCAACAGTGATTTGAACTGCACCTGCAGCCAAACTCTACCAGCTACAAGGTGGGAAGGGACGTTTACCAGGAGCTCCAGAGGTGAACTCAGACAAAGAACTACTTGTCGTGCTGGTCTGTTTGATTTGACCAGGAGCAGAGACAGAGTGGCACATCCTAGATGGGTGGTGTGGGAACAGGGTGGATTTCATAGCCTAGTCTGCCTCCTAGAGCTGTATCAGGCGCCATTTTGTTCAAGCAGGCAAGGGCTATGGGGCAGGACTGCACATGCACTGAGCTGGGAGTGAACTCACTTCCAACTCAGGGAACTGTAACAATGTGGCATCCTACAGGTTCCACCCAAGACAAGTCTAGGTAGCCCTCAGACCTAATGGCCAGCAGATCAAGAACCCCAGCAGTGGCATATCAGGTGCCGTTTCTTACAGTGTGGCAAAGAATTTAAGTCTGCAGGGGACAACAGTGAGCTGTGCATGCACTGAGCTCGGTGAGAACTCACTGAGCTCAGTGGCTTGCAGTGGTCCCACAGGAAAACAACACTGACTATGGTTTTGTACAGGTTAAAATAGGTCCACGTGGCCCTCAGACCTAATAGCCAACAGGTTCTGGCAAGATCAGCACCAACAACAATCTAGCTATTTAGGACACCTGGGTGTCTCCCTAATCCTGGGACCTGCTCCAACTGGAAGTGGGAGAAAGGTTCTACAGACAATGGTGCAGCCTCAGCACAGGATCACAGGAGGTGGAGACTGGTGAACCAGGAGCTGGGGCTACAGACACCAAGGTGGAAATCTAACATAAGAGCCCAGACCTGGAATTCGCTGGAAGGAGTGGCACAAATGACTGCAAAGACCTGTGTACCAACTGCAATAAGTAAAATTGAACTGTAGACCTGTGGGTGGCAGAGCTTAGAAACCTGCCCCAAGAAGAAGAATCTGATAACCAGAAGTACAATGACCAAGAGCAAAAGAAGAGACAGAAGCACAATGAATATTACTGAAGACTCCCCTGCAAAGGAACAAAAGCCTTTGCCAACCTCAGAGTTCACTGAGGAAGACGTCAAGAAAACGGGAGATAAAGAATACAAAACACTTGTTATAAAACTTATTTTCACTGGCAATGCCTACACAATATCTCTGAAAAAAAACAAAACAAAACAAAAAACAAACTTATCAACAATGAGAAGCACGTAATGTAGGCATTCAAGGTATTCCAGGAATATGTCACATTAGAAATGAATCAAATGGGCCCAGCGCAATAGCATAGTGATTAAAGTCCTGGTCTTGAACACTCCCGGCATCCCATATGGGCGCCAGTTCTAATCCCGCAACCCCGCTTCGTCCAGCTGCCTGCTTGAGGCCAGGGAAAACACTGTAAGATGAACCAAAGCCTTGGGACCCTGCACCCACGTGGGAGACCTGGAAGAGGCTCCTGGCTCCTGATTGGCTCAGCTCCAGCTGTTGTGGCCACTTGGAGAGTTGCCTAGAGAAGACATATCTCACCAACAAAGATCAGAGGAAATTATATCTCAGAGATTTGGATTTTTTTGTTAGTTTCATCTCTTTAACACTCTCTTCTGATTAAATTCTTCAGTGACTCATAGATCATACAGAGGCATCATTTCTTCAAGAAGGTTCTTGATTTTCTTTTTCATTTTTTCAGTGACACATTAGTCATTCAGTAGAATGTTATTTAACATCATGGTGCTGTTAATTTCTTTTTTTTTTTTTTTTCTTCTTGTTTTGATATTGTATTGTGGTTTTTCATTTAAGGGGATGTATAGTAACCGTGTAATGGAGACTATCACATCCAGGAGTGAGGATACAATGCAATATGCATCTCTGCTTTCAGACAAAGATGGACTCACAATGAAACTGTTTACTATATCTTGACAATAGGATGCTGGACTCTCTGCCATTGTCTATGCCTCCAATGATGGACATATGACTGTGTATGAAGAACTACAGTATAGTAACGATATAGGGGAACTGAGTGAGAGGGGAGGGCATAAAGGAAATCCCATGACCTGTGGAACTGTTATCTCTGTAACTCTTTCAAATAAATAAATTAATCTTAAAATAACAGAAGTGGGGTCTCTCAGCCATTACCACCCAAGCACAGTACCCGGGTCTCCAGCTCCTCCACAGCACTGGCCTGGCTGCCTCTGGCTGCCAGAAGCTGCTGTCTGACATCTTCCAAGTTCTGCTCAGCAAGTGTTTTCTGTAAGTGGAGAGAAGAGTAAAAGAAAGCTGTCATTTTTCTAATGCATGAGCAGTCACTGTATCTACAACACACTCAAACAGTGCCTTGTGCCAGGTGAGGGTGGCTTTTGTGGCACAACACACTATGCTGCCTGCAACACTCTCATCTCATGCTGGAGCACTGGTTCATGTACTGGCTACTCTGCTTCACATCCAGCTTCCTGCTAAATGCATTCTAGGATGCAGCAAATGGAGGCTCACATCCTTAGGCCCCATCACTGACATGTTGCTGTTTAGGAGGATAAGACTGGCAGTGAGCAAGGAAGGCTGTGTCAGGGGGCGCACAAGGAGACTGCTGCTCAAAGTCCCTGAAGAATAATGGCAGTGGAGATGGAGAGGAGTGCGAGACAGCCAAGTTTACCCACTGGTTCACTACCCAAATGTACCAAGCTCTCTCAGCTGGGCAAAGGCAGGCCTCTCATGTGGGTGTCAGGGACCTGATCTATCACTGCTGCTGGAGAGGGGATTACTCAAGATGGTTGTGAGGGTATAAACTAGGACGCACCTGCCACGGTGAGATACAAAGAGGAGGGGAAGAATGTGGATAGATGACGAGCAGAGACCTCATGAGAAAAGCTATCCACGTCACTGCAGAAGCGGCCAGCCCACTCAAGGGCTTCCCCCCTCTAAGACCACCCTGTTCCACAGAATTTTGTTCATGTCATACGACAGACAGTAACAATTTCCACACGCCAATGGAGAGGACGGCAGAATGGAAAAGAGGGCAGTGTGGTCAAGGCAAACGGCCCACGTGCTAACTTGCAACTGCTTCTCTCTCCCTGAAGAAAGCCTGTGAGCCCCGGGTGTTAAGGCTGCTTGTGACGTCAGCTGAAGAGTTCAAGGCCACGGGGAGCTCTGCCCTCGCCAGGCTGCTCGCGGACCAGCAGCTCTGCTCTGAACACTGAGGGGCACAGTGCCAAAGTTACCTCTCTCAGGAGTTCCTGCAAATGCTCTTCCCCTGATAAGTTCCGTTCCAGTCTCTTTTCCAAGGATGCGACCTTCTCTTGCAAATGTGTGATCACTCTGTCCTTGTCCTGAGTTTCCGCAGTGACCTGTTGGCAAACCCAATGATCACACAACACTCTAAGCCCCGTTTCCTTGCCTTCCCATTTTCCCACAGCCCAGCTGGCTCCCCTGGAGGGTCTCGGATGAGCAGGGGTCCAGGAACCACATGCTGAAAACTGCTGTTTAACAAATATTTACCATACAGTTTAACTCCAAATCATTCCTCAAAATCAATGAAAATATATGCCATGCACATTTTATGCACAAATAGTCAAAGTTTATTAATTCATATTAACTAAAAACTGGGAAAAACCCAATGTCTATCAAAAATAACTAGATAGAAAAAGGGCAAAAAATAAATGGAGAGTTAATTTTATATGTTCTAAGAAAGGGTTAATTAGAACTCAGCAGTAAAAAGAATGTACTGTATACATAGCAACAACTGATTATAACAATACAATGCTAAATCTGGGCTTGGCGCAGTAGCTTAGTGGCTAAAGTCCTCGCCTTGCATGCGCCAGGATCCCATTGGGCGCTGGTTCTAATTTCTAAGGCCCTGCTTCCCATCCAGCTCCCTCCTGGGGGCCTAGGAAAGCAGTTGAGGACGGCTCAAAGCCTTGGGACCCTGCACCCGCGTGGGAGACCTGGAGGAATTTCTTGGCTTCTGGCTTCAGATCAGCGCAACTTTGGCCTTTGCAGATGCTTGAGGAGTGAATTATTGAACGGAGGCTCTTCCTCTCTGTCTCTCTTCATCTCTGTATGTCTGACTTTCCAATAAAAGTAAAATAAATCTTAAAAAAAAAATTTATACAAATATATGTGTAAGTAATAGCACTGCTACATGTCAGAGCTAAACACACACAAAAGCTGCCCCAAAAAAACCCATAAAACAACTAACAAAACTGTAAACAACAAAAAATGCCGGGGGGGGGGCCAATGACATAACCTAGTGGCTAATTCTTTGTCTTGCAACCCCCGGGGATCCCACATAGACACCAGTTCGTGTCCTGACAGCTCCACTTCCCATCCAGCTCCCTGCTTCTGGCCTGGGAAAGCAGTTGAAGACAGCCCAAAGCCTTGGGACCCTGTATCCAGGTGGGAGACCTGGAAGAGGTTCCTGGTTTAGGACTGGCTCTGGTCATTGTGGCCAATTGGGGAGTGAACCAGCAGATGGAAGATCTTTGTCTCTCCTTCTCCTTCTCTCTATAAATCTGCCTTTCCAATAAAAACTAAAATAATTCTTTAAAAAAAAAATCGGGCCCGGCGCCATGGTGCAGTGGTTAAGGTCCTCGCCTTGCACGTCCGGGATCCCATATGGGTGCCGGTTCTAATCCCGGCAGCCCCGCTTCCCTTTCAGCTCCCTGCCTGTGGCCCGGGAAAGCAGACGAGGATGGCTCAAAGCTTTGGGATCCTGCACCCGCGTGGGAGACCCGGAAGAGGCTCCTGGCTTCAAATGGGCACAGCACCAGCCGTTGCGCTCACTTGGGGAGTGAATCATCGGATGGAAGATCTTCCTCTCTGTCTCTCCTTTCTGTATATCCGCCTTTCCAGTAAAAATAAAAAATAAATCTTTAAAAAAAAGTCCTTAGAATCATCGAGGGGCTGGAGTCTGACCTTCCTTGTTATGCTTGGCTCTCTGATGACAACGGTTTGCTCTCAAAGCTGTGTGTATCCTCCTTCTTCTACCCAGGAGCTAGAAAGGCTAGTTTTTGCATAAGAAAAATCTAGATCCATTATTTAAGACTTGCTATTTGTGAACTTTTTTTTTCCCTTGTGGCTACAGGTGATTGTGTTTTATAAAGAAACTGTGAGTCTTTGAGGGAGAACAATTGTATGTATCCAGGTGTTAAGTTCGCTGAGAGGAGTGTTGTACACTGCCATCCATTCCAGACTGTGTAACAGCAGAGTGAGTCTATGGGTCCAGCAAGGTATATAACCTCAGCCTTTTAGGTGTCCGGAAGCAGGACGACACTGGGCTGGAAGGGGTACACAGGCTTCTGTCAGCACAGATGTTCTGTAACCACGCTGCTGATCTGCTTCGCTTGAGACAAGCATTTCTTAAGAGGGAGGTGAGGTGGGTGGCATCACCCGATGGGGTAACAGGACAGACTGGACTGTAGGTGACTAAAGGACACTGCTGGCATTGAGAACCCAGCACTCAGGGAAGCTACATGTTTTACAATCAAAGCACAATTATAAAATAGGGATTATTCTCAAAATGCCAGGAAGTAGATATTCACTAAGAAAAACTACTCCACGCTCAGTGCTATCATGTTTACACCTCAGAATTCAGCATATGCCCAGAGCGGGGCAGGAGATGTATGTCCATTGAATGACAAGCTAATCATGGCATCATCATGTGCCAGGGCCAAAAAGAGACCAGAGCCAAGTGTGTGAAATCCACAGCTCTGGCCCCACCAACAGTGACTGCCCCATCTTCTGTGGTACCGCAGGCCCTGTGGAGTGCTCTGAGAAAGCCCGTAAGGACAAGGACAAGATGGATGTCTTCCGCAGTGCAGTCATTTCCACCTGAGTGCGGTCTAGCTGGAAAAGGAAACAGGGCAGTGGGCAGCACGAGACAATAAGGCTTCCAGCAGCCACCTGCAGGCAGATATCCTGGACAGATTTTTACCCCACTTGTTGATTCCTGGGGACCCAGATCTGCTCTGTGCTTGAACTTACCTTCTGTACCTCACGGGAGAGCTGCTGAATAAATGCCTGGAGCTCTTGTTCCCTTTGCTCCAGGGCTGTGATCTTACTCTCTGCACCTGCTTTTGAAGCTGTCACATGATCTCTTCATTGAAAGAAAGCAGACAATGAGCAAATTTGGCTAGCTCATCTACAACACACTTTTGCACAGGAAAACACAGATGGTTCCTTGTATGTCAGGACCGCAAACATTATCAGCCACATGAAGGTTATCAATGTAAAGCACTTCTTGGCTCTACTGGAAGCTGAAGTTCAAAGAGAAAAGTCCACCCAAGTCTAAGCCAGAAATCCTGATCTGTCTTTGCTTATTCAACCACTGAACCTCAAACTCGTCCTGAATGGCTCAGCAGGGCTGGATGGCTCCTAGCCCAGGCAGGCGAAGGGCAGAGAGGGTCGGGGTGGAGCCAGAGATCCTGAGTTCCAGGCAGGCAAAGCCAAGTCCAGCTGCCCTTGCCAGAACTGAGGTCACCAAGCACTGCTGCAAGCAATGGGGAAAGGCGGGGGGCGGGAGGGCGGGGGGCTGCAGGCCGAGCTACACTAACACCTCTTCCCCAGCGCCCCACAGACCAAGCAAGAACCTCTGCGCTTCCAGCGTCGAGCAGTGTCTCTGCAGCTCTTGCAGCTTCTGGCTCAAGTCTAATGACATCTGATTGGAAGTCAGCAACTCCTCCTGGGTGCGGTTGAGTTCTCTGGTCCGAGCCTCTAGCTCCTGCTCCATTTTCCCCAAACTTTCTTCTTTTGTTAACAGCTGACAGAGACAAACAGTTTCACTAGGCTAACGCTGAGATAGACACATTAGAAAGTAATTTGGGTGAATAGCCAAACTTTTCATTTTTGGGACTTTACAAAGGGGCTTACTGTCCAGCACTTCAGACTAAAGGGAAAAGGAAGTATATTTCAAACAGAACTTTTGCATTTTACTAAAATTAAAATAAAAACACATAAACATGACTAATACCAGTGACCACTGGAGTCTGGTAAGCAACAATTAGGGAGTAAGAGGAATTAGCAAATAAGAAGAAATAATCACATTTTCTGAAATAAACCCACATACGTACCATATGCTTCACTTTACTTAGTTCCTGCTGCTGGAACCCCTTTAGTTCATCCGCCTCATCTCTCCTTTGGAACAGATTCAGACTCTGGCTCTTTACTTCCTGTAACTGAGCTGTCAGAAGCCTGTTCTCCTGTTTGGAAGAAGCAGACATGAGTTCAGGCAGGCAGGGCCTCAGGGACATGCCGGGAGGGCAGCCACGGCCCAGCGGTTGATACACGCAAGTCCACATTTGACTACCAGAATTTAACACCTGTTGGTGACGCACAACGCCAGCTCTGGGCTAACACAGACCTCCAAGGGCAAGCAGTGATGGCTAAGGTAGCTGAGGTCCTGCTACCCTCGAGGGAGAACTGGACTCAGGTTCCAGCATCCAAAGCTGGCCCACTGCTAGCCAATATGAGCATCTTGGAAAGTGAGACAACAGACTGGAGCTTTGTTTCTCAAATAAATACATGCAGTGAATTTTTTAAAAAACCTGTATTACACAAGTAGAAAATTTTGGAATTACTGTGCCAGTACATGATGATGCACTGATAACTGGAAGCATCATGGTAATATGACATGGCACTGAAGCTTCGTAAGTTAAAATTAAGGACGTTTTTTGGGCCCGGCGCGGTGGCGCAGTGGTTAAGGTCCTCGCCTTGCACGCCTGGGATCCCATATGGGCACCAGTTCTAATCCTGGCAGCTCTAATTCCCATCCAGCTCCCTGCTTGTGGCCCGGGAAAGCAGTCAAGGACGGCCCAAGGCTTTGGGACCCTGCAGTCGTGTGGGAGACCTGGAAGAGGCTCCTGGCTTCGGACCGGCATAGCATTGGCCGTTGAGCTCACTTGGGGAGTGAATCATCGGACGAAAGATCTTCCTCTCTCTATATCCGCCTTTCCAATAAAAATAAATAAATCTTTAAAAAACTAAGTCATTTTAGGGGCAGCTGTGATCTAGTGGGTTAAGCCACTTGAGATGCCTGCATCCTGTAACACAGTGTCTCACTGGGGGCCCAGGTACTCCAAATTCTGACTCAGCTTCCTGCAATGTGCTTGGGATGCAGTAGATAAAAATTCAAAGTACTTGAGTCCCTGCTTCACAATGTGGCTGATCCTAATGGAATTGCTGGCTCAGGATTTAGCCTAGCACAGCCTTGGTTGCCGTATGTGGGGAGTGAACCCTTGGATGAAAGATATTTCTGTTTTTGCTTCTTCTTTTCTTTACTCTGTTCTTCAAACAAATACCTGATTTAATTATAACAAGAGCAACAATTGTTTAAAATGTCAAAGTTCTGCTTAGCACATTTAGACACACATTTCACATGTCTGGTCTTAGCGAAACATTTGAACTGGCTGAAAAACACCAATAACCAGAGTTCAATAGAATCCCCACTCCCTATGCCACCAAGTACAAGCTTTCAGGTAGAACTCATACCAAGAAAAAAAAAAATCACAAATATACATGGTGTCAGTAGGTAGGTTACAATTTACTTAATGACACCTTCTTAGGAATGACTTAAGAACTCTGTTGTTATAGTTGCTGATTATTTTTTCAAAAGATTTAATTATTTTTATTTGAAAGGCAGACAGAGACAGACACACACAGAGAGACACAGAGAAGATAGAGTGAGAGCTCCTCCATCAGCTGATTCACTCCTCAAAGGCTGCAATGGCCAGAGCTGGGCTGGTTTGAAGGCACAGCCTGAACTTCCTGTGGGTCTCCCAGCGGATGCAGGGACACAAGCACCTGGTTTGTTTCTTAAGTGGAAGCAATGGCTTGGAGCTGAGCCCATGTGAAGCCAAGAGCCAGGAGGAGCTTCCTCCAGGTCTCCCATGCAGGTGCAGCATCCCAAGGCCTTGGGCTGTCTTCAAGTGGCTTCCCAAGTCACAAGGAGGGAGCTAGAAGGGAAGTGGAGCAGCCGGGACATGAACTGGTGCATATATGGGGATTCTGTTGCATGTAAGGTGAGGGCTTTAGCCATTAGCCTACTGTGTGACATCCCAGATCTTTTTTTTTTTTAAAGATTTATTTTATTTTTATTGGAAAGGCGGATATACAGAGAGGAAGAGAGACAGAGAGGAAGATCTTCCGTCCGATGATTCACTCCCCAAGTGAGCACAACGGCTGGTGCTGTGCCCATTTGAAGCCAGGAGCCTCTTCCAGGTCTCCCACGTGGGTGCAGGGTCCCAAGGCTCTGGGCTGTCCTCAACTGCTTTCCCAGGCCACAAGCGGGGAGCTGGATGGGAAGCAGGGACGCTGGAATTAGAACCGGCGCCCACATGGGATCCCGGGCGTGCAAGGCGAGGACCTTAACCACTGCGCCATGGCGCCGGGCCCCCCAGATCTTTTTAAAATCATTTATTTGGGGCCACTGTGGTAGCACAGCAGTCTAATCCTCTGCCTGTGATGCTCACATCTCATATGGGTACCGGTTTGAAGACAGGTTGCTCCACTTCTTTCCCAGCTCTCTGCCTGTGGCCTGGGAAAGCTCTGGAGGATGGCCCAAAGCCTTGGGACTCTGTACCTATGTGGGTGACCTGGCGGAGACTCCTGGCTTCAGATTAGCACAGCTCTGTCAGGACGTTTTGGGGTCCCAGGGGAAGCAAGATTTTTCTCTCTGCTTCTCTCCGTAACTTTTCCAAGTAAAAATAAATAAATATTTTTCTGTAAATAACTTAAGAGGCAGCAAAAGAGAGCGAGAGAGAGGGCAAGCAAGAGAGCACATGTACTCTGAATTGCTGGTTTCCAGCAACGGCTGAGGTCACAGCCCGAGATGGGAACTCCACCCAAGCCCCCCCGTGGGTAGCAGGGACCCAGTGTCTGGGCTATGGCGCTGCTTCCGTGGGCCGAAGTGGGCCACTAGCAGAGGCCCTCCGAGATGAGACACGGGCATCTTAGTCTTCACACCCAGTAAGCTAACCCGGACATATCTTACGAGCTTCTATTAAAATAATGATTCTGAATTAACCTGCTCCTGTACATTTGAGAAGATTATCACTAACAGATATGTTTGAGGAGTTTTTCCCCTCTTCTTTGGGACTTGATTTTCCTATAATCCTTTCCTCATTAAAAAACATGTTACAACATTTCTGATAGTTTGATAATCAGATTTCTACAGAACACACAAAGAAAATTGCTGGCTTAACTTTTATGAAAAGAATGTAATTATAAAATTCATCTGCTCAATAAAATAGCAAACATACTTTGGAAGTAAACATATCAATCTAAAATAATTCTGCTATCATGAAGATTAGTTTAGGAGCACTCAATGAATTAGCAGTATACAGTTGAGGCTGAGGGAGATGAGTCTATTGTCTTCAAGACGCCCCTCCAATGGCAGGTCTGAAAGTCTGCTCTCATGCAGACGCTGGAGCAGCAGCCTTTACTGATGGCACCTGCAGGGCTGCACAGGTTGTGCAAGCAGACTAAGCGCAGGGCTTCCTCTGCGTCTAGCTGAGAAATGCTTCTGTCTGTTCTGTGCCGAGCCTTGGGGAATGGCCTCCATCCCCTTGGCAGGGTCAAGAATCCCTAATGTTATCTTGGGGTTGCTTTAATAAAGGGACTTAACAAAGCTGTAGGAAGAAAGCCCAAGAGAAATAATGTGCTGCTTACTGCAGAGCGCCAAGCGGCGAACAGACACAAGGGTTAAAGGAAATCCAGAGAGAAAAACTATGCCTAACAAAGGTCCATGTGAAGCTGTGACTTGCAGCCAGGGATGGAATGAATCAGAGGGATCCCGTGTAGATGAAGCCGGGAGGCGAGGAGAGACCCTAGCATACTCCTCCACACAGTTCCTTCAGCATTCCCCATCCCTGCTGATGCCAGAGTCACAGAGGAAAGGAAAGCGCGGATATACAGGCAGGTGTGAGGGATGAGGGGCAACACACCCACCATGAGCTGTTTAAGTCAGTTCCACCTCACTTAGTACATTGCTCATCCAATACAACATATCCCAGGCTCCAGGGCTGAGAGCAATGTGATTAAAGAGACAAACACAAACACAAACTAACCTTTTCAAGGTGATCCATCTTTTCCAAACATTCCTAAAACAAAACCAAAACAAAACAAAACAAAACAATGAGAGTATAGCTTCCAGGGAAGATTAACTGTAATACCAAGATATTTATAAAATAAACAATCCAGCCAACTGCCTCTAGATAGCAACCAACCCAAACACACAAAAAAGCAAGTAAAACCAAAAACTCTAAAGAACTTCGCATAACATTAAGATGGCCAAGAATATAAAAGGAGAAAAGGAACTTTATGTAAAATTGTGCAAAATCAATGTTTGCAGACGTTCTCTAGGCAGGACAAACCAAGCTATATGTGCTGTTGCTACATGGCTTTTCAGCTCACTGTTCCAACTTTCTCATGTGCACTGTGAGGATTTATTTTATGACTAGGTAGCTGGCACCAGGTGAACAGGATGACTGTAATTTATGATCAAAAATTAATTTGCTGATGGGGGAATCTTCAGTAGTTTCTGATCATTATTTTCCTTTTCATTTTTATTTCACCAATGTGGTTTGTGCTATCTATTAGAACACAAAGGAGAAGTAATCATGCCTGATTCACAAAACATGGGGGACGTGGCCACTAATACGACAGGCCATATCCCATTTTTGGGGGGCTAGAATCCCCCAATTTCAGCTTTTCATTTACATACACCCATACCACAGTTAGCCACTAAGCATATTTTCTCTGGCAAGTAAAGGCTCCAGATAACAAACATACACTTTCAAATCAATCAGCCAAACACTCTACATAGTGCAGCTGTAATAAATTATGTGAGTTCCTTTTGTGCACCTGGCTGGCGTTGAAGACACTCAGGAACAGAGGTAAGAAACGCACAGATGGCCTGCGAGCAGCATGACAGTAAGGTCGCCAACACTAAGGACAGGTGTTGTGAGGTTGAGGGTTTGAGCTGGTTTTCAGAGAGCAGACTGGCCCCTTATTTGGGGACCCACCACCAGAGTAAGGAGCATGGACACATTACAGAGAACAACTCACACTCTGGACCCATTCCACGACTACACTGCATAACTTCACAACACCACAGCATGAGATGAGATCTTAAACAACTTAAACGTTAATCCTTTTGCCAGAGATTGTAAATAATTTCTCCCAGGTTATGTCACAATTTTTAAGATCTAAGTGAGCAAAGCCTTTCACCATTCTTGGGCAGTGTCAAATACAAAATACCTGGTCTTTTCTGGCTAATGCCAAAGCCAGTCCTTCTGCCATTTTGGCTCTGTTGGCTTGGAATGTCTCATTCTGCTCTTGAAATTTCCGCATGGAAGCTGTTAACAAAGAGGCTCTATTTGAGATATGGAAACATTTCAGAAAGAACACGTCAAATAGCCCACATGACTACTTCACAACTATTATCACATGAAAAAAGACCAAGATCATAATCCATGTAGATTATGAGCAGAGGAAAAGTCTGATCCATCTTGATTTTCCAGAGGAATCTTTTGGCCTTGGCAACAGATTATCTGTTTACTAATCTTTTTTAATAGTTAAGCATATATATACGCATAAGGAGATTCCAAAAGGAAACTTTTTACATGGCACAGTGATAGAACAGTTAGGTAGGTAGTAGCCAGAAAACATTAATGTTGTCGCTACCGATGGCTACTACCTGCTCATCAGAATTAAAAATAAAACAAAGCTAACCCAAAGTTTACTTTCCTTAAGAAAAAACAAACAAACAAAAAACCAGTATGTAATACATTAGCAAAAAATGTAACTTTTGACTTTTATTATCATATTTCTTCAACAGTATCTAAAGAACAAAAGATTCAGAATCAAAACATGTCACTGTGCTGGAGAAGCAATGGCAGCTGTTTTTCCCTTTACTCAACCCAGCAGTCAGGCAGCTGTGGCCAAATCCATCTCCTGAGCTAGACCCAAGGGCCAGGTGCTGCATTTTACTAAAATCTCATGGGGCCACTAAATGGATCAACTGGACACAGACCAGCTGATACACGAAATGACTTCTTCCTAATATGCTTAAGGAACTTAAATGTGAGGTTTATACTTATAAATATCACATAGATCTATCAATCTGAATAAGCATACTCTTTATAAAATAGTTATAAGAGCTGATGGACAAACTTCACAATACACTATTGTATTATTTAAAAAAAAACAACTAAATCCTGAAAAGATTGAAAAACAAAACAAAACAAAAATACGTACAATCCTGATGTTTTTCTAATGCAATTTCAAGCTTCTCTTTTATCTTCTGCAGGTTTCGGACCTGTTCAGCATAGTCTGGGTGAGGTAATGCACACACCAGGAATGGACAGACATCAGGAAAGGAAGTTAATTAAACACTGAAATGAGTGAAAATGATGATGATTTTTCTCAACTTGAAAACCCTTCCTGTTAGGGAAAGCTATGCAGACAGCCTCCCATTAACAATCAACAACACAGGCAAACGAGTACAAATTACCCATGGTGTAATGGTGAATACAGACAGGCAAATTTGTTAAACCTTAACAGGGTACAAGACTTAAGCAGGAATTGGTTCTCAAAAATGCCCTGCTGTGAGAAACACAGCATTACCTCATGACATCACTCAGATCTCAGTGCTCAGTTTCCTGGCTGGCCTTCACAGCAGGCCAGGTCCAGGCTAACCCAGGAAGCAGCCTGTGTGACAGTAGGCAGGGCAAGAGCAAACACATAAGCAAGCTTGTCACTGTCCGTCCACTGAAAGAACCAACTTCTCCAGGAAGCTGACACCTTTCTGTACCTGCACGGGAGTTGAGTCACCCACGCTACAGTAAAGGTGGAAGTCAGAATGAATGTCCTGGGTGGCCAAAGACACTAGAGTAAGGTGAAGAAGTAGAGAATACTTGAAATCCCAGCATTGTCAGTCTGTAGTAGATTATTAATCTAAGTATTGGTTTCTTCATCTATTAAATGATATTAATCACCCCCAAGACACAGGCACGTGACAATGGAGTATTCCACACGGTCTACGTGCTTTGAGCAGCCACTGCTGTGTCACAGTAAGCCTCAGGCCGAGCAGCTGGAACCTAAATGGGCTCTAGCATTGTCCGTGTTCATCCCTGGCCCCTCTACACTGCCTGTCAGGAAGGTGTGGACTATTTCTTAATTACCTCTCCAACCTTAAAAAAATACAAGAGCAATTCATTTCTGTCACTTCTGTTGGTCACTGACACTTCCAACAGAAGTGACAACATAGTAACAGGTGACTTTGAAGCAGAATGAACTCCAGCATTAAGTCTGGCTCCTGCTCCACCACTTACCACTTTTGTGACCTTAACCTTCTAAGGCCATACTGGAGAGAAAATGATTAACTTTACTTGTGAACAATGCGATGAGCTTTTTACAGCTACCCATGTTGTCACCTTCAATTTGGAGGATTCTAGTCTACTAATTTTTCTGCAATCAGAGTGGCCAAAGGCCAACAGACACTAGACACAGAAGTCAGGGACCACTTCACAGGAGGTGAATCACAACAGGGGCTCACAACTGAATCACGGACATGTCCTACTCTGGGAGAGGAAAAAAACAGAGCTGTGTGAATTCTCAACTGCACACGAAATATGTAATGAGAACTACAGCTTTTATACCAGTATTAGAGATACCACTGAGAAGTGACCCAAAGACCCAGACCAACACTACACGTGACTGTGCTATGGTTAGAGGCAATACTGGGCCGAGTTCTTTCTGGTGCTAATCACACCAAAACTGTTGGCCACACCAGTGTGCGTGCAGTCCTTGCCCCTGCAGGTCTGCTGCGCTCTGTGTAACTGTGGGAGATGGTCAGACATTCCCACGTGTACTCTGGATCCCTTTTATCTCCATGGCTAGAAACCTCAGGAATAGAAACAGTTTTTAACTGTTTTTTTAAACTGTTTTAAACTGTTTTTTTAAAACCTCAAGAGCAGCTTTTGAAAGTAAACTTTCAGGTTTGTGTGTATTTTATTTGACACACTACAAGAATGGAACGAGGGTCAAATTGTTTCTCAGGAAGATCAAAAGAATATTTGAGAATAACTGTGATTCTTACGGTCTACTTTATTTGGGGGAGGGTCAGGCAAGGCAAACAGACCACTGTTGGCAATGCATGAGTTTTTGGACTTACCGGAGAGCCTGGCTTCTAACTTCCGGATCTGTTCATTCCTTCTCAGCAGCTGGGACGAGAGATCTTCTCGGGAGCTGCTGCCGTCGGAGGCCTGTTGAGAGAGGCACAGGAGACATCATAGCAACTTCTTAGCAGTGGCAACCAGCTCAGGGCACCACTGAGCCCCAGGCTCCAGCTTGCTGCAGGTTCAGTTACTGTAACCACTGGTGGTCACTCAAGGCTGCTGCCAGCTGCTGTTTTTTAAGATATTGGGGCTAGTGACAGCTAGTGGCTACCTCTTTGCTCTGCAACCCCCAGGATCCCATGTAGGTGCCAGTTTGTGTCTGGGCTGCTCCATTTCCCACCCAGCTCCCTGCTTGTAGCCTGGGAGGACGGCCCAAAGCTTTGGGATTCTGCACTCATGTGGGAGACCCAGAATCTCCTGGCTCCTGGTTTCAGATCGGCTCAGCTCCGGTCGTTGTGGCCACTTGGGAAAGTGAACCTGTGGTTGGAAGATCTTTTTCTCTCCGCTCTGTAATAATCTGACTTTCCAATAAAAAAATCAACAAATCCTTTAAAGAAAAGTTGATGACTGTAGTATTCATTAACCTTGATTTGGAATAGTTAAAAAAAAAAAGTATTTTTATTGATTTGAAAGGCAGAACAACATTGAGAGACGGGTCTTCCATCCACTGGTAGCCATGAGCTTCCTCTGGGCCTCTCAAGTGCATGTTGGGGCCCAGAGACAAGGGACATACTCTGCTGCCTTCCCAGAAACATTAGCAGGGAGCTAGACTGGATTTCAGCAGTTGGGACAAGAGCTGGTGTCCACATGGGATGCCAGAACTACAAGCAGTGGCTTAACCTGCTCTATAACAATGCTGACCCTGAAAACCTTAACATAACTGGTCCCCAAAACTTCTCTGCTTGCAGTGGAAGCCACACTACCTCTCTCCGTAAGTGAAGGAGAGATGAGATATTATATGCATGTACATGTGCTCTACTAGGATAAATGACAGGAGATAAATATACTATGATTGTATTATATAAATATATAATATTTCAAATATTTATAATAGAAAAGAAAGTAATTTATTTTTAAAAAGTTCCAATCCTGGGGAAGAAAGAGAGAGAGAAGAGTTCTTTAATGAAGGATCAAAGTTAGGCCTATGCCTACGAATTACTGATAATAACAATATTAATTAATTATTATGATAGTTAATAATGATAGATTATTGATAATAACGAATCAGCAGGGAGATGGAGCAGGAACAGACAGTTCACACTGGGGGTGCCAGAGCTGCAGGCCACAGCTCAATCAAAATCCACTAACTACAAAATTGTTCACAATATACAAGGAAGGAAAGGCTTGATGAACTTTCCCCATTCACTTTAACAATTACCAGTGTTGTCCCATATTTGTTTCAGTAATTTTTTTGCTTAAGTGGCTTAAAGTTACAAACATCATAACTTTTCAACCTAAATTCTTGGATAAGTATTCTTTTTTTTTTTTTTTAAAGATTTATTTTTTATTTTTATTGGAAAGGCGGATATACAGAGAGAAGAGACAGAGAGGAAGATCTTCCGTCTGATGATTCACTTCCCAAGTGAGCGCAACGGCCGATGCTATGCTGGTCCGAAGCCAGGAGCCTCTTCCGGGTCTCCCACATAGATGCAGGGTCCCAAAGCTTTGGGCCATCCTCGACTGCTTTCCCGGGCCACAGGCAGGGAGCTGGATGGGAAGCGGGGCTGCCGGGATTAGAACTGGTGCCCATATGGGATCCCCAGCGTGCAAGGCGAGGACCTTAACCACTGCGCCATTGTGCCAGGCCCCGGATAAGTATTCTTAAGATATATGGGAGCCAAGTACAGTAGCCTAATGGCTGAAGTCTTTGCTTTGCACACACCAGGATCCCAAATGGGCGCCAGTTCATGTCTAGGCAGCCCCACTTCCCATCCAGCTCCCTGCTTGTGGCCTAGGAAAGCAGTCGAGGATGGCCCAAAGCCTTGGGTCTCTGCAACCACGTGGGCAATCTGGAAGAGGCGCCTAGCTCCTGGCTTCAGATCGGCTCAGCCCCAGCCACTGCAACAACTGGGGAGTGAATCAGTGGATGGAATATCTTCTCTTTCTCTTCTCCTCTCTGTATATCTTTCCAATAAAAATAAATAAGTCTTTAAAGAAAATGAACATTTTCTTCTTTAAAACCCAAAACCATTATCACATCAAATAAGTTAAAAAATTTTATTATTTACTTTTATTAAAAAGGCAGGTTTAGAGACAAGGAGAGAAAGATCTTTCATCCGCTGGTTCATTTCCCAAGTGGTGATAATGGCCAGAGCTGAGCCGATCTGAAGCCAGGAGCCCAGAGCCTCTCCCAGGTCTCCCACGTGGGTGCAGGATCACAAGGTTTTGGTTCATCTTACGCTGCTTTCCCATGCCAAGAGCACGGAGGTGGATGAAAGTGAAACAGATGGAACATGAATGGGCGCCCATATGGGATCCCAATGCTTACAGGGGAAGATTAACCAATTAGCATATTCAGTTCAGTTGTGGCTGCTGTGGTCATTTGGGGAGTTGAAGCACAGGATGCAAGATCTTTTTGTTTCTCCTTGTATGTGTAAATCTGCCTTTTCAATAAAAATAAATAAATCTTAAAAAAGAAAGAAAGGAAAGGAAATAAAAGAAAAGGAAAGAAGAGAGGAAGCAGAGGAGCCAGGCCTGGAGCTACACTCCCGACGCAGGGTGCTCGAGGCTGGAGCGCAATGCCTGCCCCGGGCAGCTTCTCCATCACACAGACTGTCCGAACTTTCTCAAGACTTGCAGCTGCAACTAGTTGTCTTAGTCAACCTTGGACTAAGACAAACGCCCGAGAGCAGGTGGGATATGAAGGAGACGGGTTCTTCTCATCCTTTCACAGCCTGACAAGTCCGAGATCAAGCAGGTAACAGATTGTGTCCAATTCACCGATGGCGACTGCTGGCTGTGTCCTCACTTGGTGGAAAGGCCAGGGCTGACTGTGGGCACAGAAACCATTAGGAGGCTCCTCCTCCTTGCCAAGACTCCCTCAAAGGCCTCACTTCCTGATACCATCACACTGGCCATTAGGTCTCAACATAAACCGGTACCAACACAGTCCAACAGGTGCTGTTACAGAGCGGAGGCCAGGATAAGGCGCCAGCTGCAGCCAAGAGGGGTGAAGGGGACAGTGAGAGGGGTGAAGGGGACGGTGAGGGGGTGAAGGGGACAGTGAGAGGGGTGAAGGGGACAGTGAGAGGGGTGAAGGGACAGTGAGAGGGGTGAAGGGGACGGTGAGGGGGTGAAGGGGACGGTGAGGGGGTGATTTAAATCAAGGGGGCTTCTCCTAAGCTGAGTCGTGAAGGAGGCAGTAAGCGTCTATCAGAAGGAATGCTGGAGTGAACGACTGGGACGGGAGACTTTCCACAGGAGATGCGAAGGTGAACAGGCACAAGGAATGTGATCCGTTCGGGAAGTGCAGCGATGCCAATCTGGCTCTGGCAAACAGTGAGGCTGGTCACGTGGCTGGTCACGTGACTGGTGACAAGGCCCTGGCAGTTTACTATTACGCTATAACAGCAAGTTTTCATTTCATCCTGAACATGATGGGGAAGCCCCTGATTTCAAGCATTGGAGACACAGAAACAAGTCTGTTTTGACAGGATGGCTTTGGAGTCACTGGAGGTAGGGCACCCAGACGGGTCCCTGTGTCCAGGAAAGAGAAGCCATCTGACATACAACGGACGTGAGCGCACGAACACAGTGGAGTGGAGAGGCAACTTGGAGAGGTATTTGGGAAATGGAAGCCAAAACACCTGTAGGTTTCCTGGACACCCCAAGAATGGAGGGGGGAAGGAATCCTGATGCAACCAACGGTGTTAGCACATGGCTTGAGAGGATGCCAAGACATATCGCAAGAGGGAGTTCGGAAAGTCAACTTCGTTCACTGGAATTTGAGGTGTCTGCGGGAAAGGCATCCATTGGGAGCAATCCGTGGAGCTGTATCTAAGCTCCACACACGGGCTGGAAGGTGAGTCGGCACACGGTAACTGGAAAGCAGGGTTCTCCTCGAATTCAGGACAGTCCCTCCATGTGCAACGTGTCTAGATGAGACTTCCCTTGGTGCATCGACACAAAGACAAAGCAGGCTTGTGGCCACAGCGCTGAGCCACACGCAAGGTGCACGTGTCTGCTCACGCAGGCCCAGTGTAAAGCTACACGTGGCTAGCCTCACTGCTCTGCTCCAACAAACCCAACAGCTTCTGCTACCTCATCAGACCCGGGAGTCAGATGTCACGAGAAAGGAGGCCGAACACTTATCTGCTCCTGGCAATCACTCAAATGTCTATTCCTGGGAGAGACAGAAATCAACTGTGGCCACTTCAAATTCTGGACTCTTACACTGCAGTCACACATGTGAATCACAGCTTCATGTGATACAGACGCATTCTGGAAATACGTGGAGTTAAAAAATAAAAGCCCAAGACCATGGTATGACATACCATTTTATAAAGTTCAAAAATGAGTTAAAAATACATTTATGACATAAACTACAAATATTATTACAATATTATGGTCCAAATAATGCTTATGGTAAATAAATAATTGCCTATGAGGTACTTCCAAAAGTTAATGAAAAGTAGCTTATTTTGTTGCAGAATGTCTTGAAATCCATGCATTTGTTTTTTCATGATACGTTCTGAAGTGGCCTTGTATATATCAGAACACAAATTTTAAGAAGCAAGACAATGATAAAACACAAAGGTTAGAACTGTGGCAAGTGACAGAGGTGAACTGGGGACAGGAATGGTGAAGTGAAACGTACCGACAGGGCTACTTCTCTGAACGTATGCCTTCTAGCCAGACATTACATATATATATATCCTTTTGAATATGTCAAGCATTATAAGGCATTTTTTACTAAGTCATCTACCTTGAGGATCCTGTCATGTGTCAGGCATATGCAAATTCTCAAGCCTAACTTTCTAACACAGCAAGCAGCAGTCTCATTCATTGCAATCTCACCCAATACAACTGCACTTGACAAAGAACACACTGCAGCCACAGGGCCTTGTTCCCACCGGTTCCTCCACCCACAGCCCCTCAGTGCAGTCTGACCAACCCTGACCACAGTCCACAGAGCTGGCCAAGCACCAAGGACGTCAACCGGCTGTGTCTGCGGGGGTAAACAGGCCCAGGCGTTTGCACAGGTCAATGCAAAGGAGGTACGTAGGTGGAAGAGCACCTTACGGACAAGAGACAATAAAGAAGGGAACACATAAAAGGTAAGCAAATAATCCAGCCCCGGAACCATAACCACTGACCTTGAGCAAGAAGTCACATGTGCTGGTCCCGCGCAACTACAAACTACAAAAGGCACAAAACAGGCAACTTCATGAAAAGACTCCCTGGAACATCACGTCTGAGCCAAACATGAACAACTAGAGAAGCTACTTACAAAGTCATCTCCGGAGTCAGCTCCCATAGAGGCAATGGATTCCTTGCTCACCGACCTGGGGATCCTGGTGGCACCCCCAGGCCGCTGGGCAACCGCAGACTCCTCGGCGATTTTCTTCTTCAGCTTGGCGAACATGGTGGCTGCCGGGCACAGGATCCCAGTGCTTTAGTCCCTGTGGCGGCCCTTCTGCTGGCAATCAGCGTCCCGACACCGGCGGTGCCTGCGAAGTTGCAGACATGCAAGCCAGCTCCGTGCCAGCATCGACGGGAGCCCCGGGCTCAGGCCAGGCCGGCACCTAGGAAGCAGGTGAAAGCCTTCTCTGTAAACGAAATACTGGGAAGATTTTCCACACCTGAGCTACCGCCTTCAACTTCAGCTTTTAAAAGGCAAGTTTTGTAAGTGACAGGTCAACGTAACAGAATTACTAAACCTTTAGGAAGTACACAGGCGCTTTATCTACACACGCACGCATGAGGAAATCTAGTCTTGAGGTGAGGCGACCTGTGTGGCTGGTGGCTGAGTGGCAGGGCTGGTATCTGAGCACTGAACTCTGACTCACAGGTCCTTACTGTTTTTTTTTTAAAGTAGATCACGCTGGCTGTGGCATATGACACATTTAGGAAAATTTCCTGGGGCAAACACCAACATCCTCAAAACAGGACTTGGTGCTTTACAATCCTTCTTGCAACTATATCAGTATTTTAGTACAAAGTATTACTAAGATGAAAGCAAAAACATATGCAACTCAGGAAGCGGAAAAGGGGGAACATTTTATGTTCCCTACAGAAAGCTCAAAGCCCTATATATTTATTTAAAAAAAAAAGAAGAAGCCAAATACAACCAAGTATATTCTATTTGTACCACACACTCTTATTTAAACTTTTACTGAAAATGATGTGTGGTTGAAGTCTGGGGAAAAAAAATTCCTCCAATCACATTTTTTTTTCCTTTTGTTTGGAAGGATACAGTCTGGCTGCCACCTGAACTTTCCACATTTTCTCGAGGGTTGAGAAACCTGCTCGAAGGCCTACCAGCCACCTGCCACCAGCTCACCCACTCCATCTGCCGCACTCTCCAGAGGTGTCAACACCACTTACTCACCGGCCCCTCTGCTGGACTGAGAGCAGCCCGGAGGTCCAGGCATTCTGTACTCACCCAGACACAAACGCGGTGGGCAAGTACAACGGTGGGAAGTCAGTCAGTGGAGGACCAGGAGGGAGGGGAATTCGTTTCGGGAAGGAAACCCTACCAGTAACCCCAGCTCAGCCTGGTCTCCTATGGATCTGTAATTTTCCTCAGAGCTTAAGGCACACGGAGCGGAGTCGCTCACAGCAGCTCGGATGAAAGGACGCTTTCCCAGAGCTTGTATTTATTTCTCAGTTGCTTCTGACACACGCTGTCTACCTGGGCCGTCTGGTTCGCACCACGACGGGGCGGCAAACTTGGGACAGGGGCTAACGCCCTGATGGCAGCTCCGAGCCCACTCCCTCGGCCTCCCTCCAGCCCCGCCGGGGCTAAGGCTGTCCGCCACGGGAAGGACCCGACAGCAGGGAAACTGAGGCCCAGCAAGGAGGAGACGCTCGTCCAAGGCGGCGTTGGGAGGACTCTGCCAGACTCAGGCCGGGAAGCCCGCCTCCGCTCCCATCCTCGCCCTCCCGGTCCCGCCCCCCAGCTCGGGTCTCAGACAACCCAGTCCAGGGGGCGCCTGGGGCCAGGCCGAGGACGCCGGGAGAAGGGGGACGAGGGAGGGCTGCTCGGGTTCCTCGGGCCCTCGGGTCGCGCACCTGCCGCTCCGGGGGCGCCCGGCAGGGCACCGCCTCCCGGGCCTCTCGTGAACGCCGGGCCGCGTCAGCTGCCCCGCCGCCAGCCGCCGAGCCGGAGCGGCGACCCGGAACCGCACGTTCCCCCACCAGCGCGCCGGAAGTGGCCCCGCGCCGGATGGAGCCGCCACGCGCATGCGCCCGGGCGCCCTTGGCGGCGAGCGGCGGTTGGGCGGAACGGCTCTCGGGTGCCGGTCCCCGCGCTCGTTCCCTGCGGCCCATTCGCCACGTCAGCGACCGGCCGGTGCCGCGGATGACGAGAGCGTCGCCCAGGCCTTTCATCCTGGCTTTAAGAAAGAGACTGGTAGAGAGTCGGGGAGGTGGGAGGAGCCTCGAACTCGGTGTGTGTGCTGGGCCAGCGTGGCCGTGTAGGAGGGAAGGTCCGGGCCAGGACTGCCCGGCTGGGTCATCCCTACTTACTGTGTCCTGGGAGACCCCGGGAGGCCTGCGGCTCCAGAAACTATCTTGCCGTTGGGAGGGATGTTCGCGCTTCTGTTGTTTTGTGCCTGACTGTAAGTTGTAAACGCACACTGCAACCCAACGCAGGTGTCAATTACACATGAAAGAAACTTCCAGAATCATTCCCTTGTTCCAAACGTACTGGGGTAATAGTCTATGGCTTAAAAAATACGCTGGCTAAAGAAAAGAAAAAGCTGGTGGCAGTCCACGGTGCTAACTTGTCTGTTCGCCTCTTTGACACGTGTAACATCCCAAAGGTGAATCGGTGATTCATACCGATTTGATCCTCGTTGAGTCATGGTGCCCATTGGTTGCCTGGGTCAGATTTCTGACCTCTCGGTGCCCCCCAAGTCTGGGGTTCCACATTAAAGGAAACTCGTCGGCCCCAGCTCCACTGCCAGGACAGTGCACCTGCCACCTGATTCTGATAGTCCTTCCCTCCAGGGCCAAGGCAGGAGGACACCAAAACCCAGCTAGGAAAATAAGCATAGAATCTGCGACCTCCCCGACAGCTGCACGTGGGGCATCAGCCAAGAGGGGCAAACCCTAACCGCTTATCACTTGGCCGCCTCAGCAAAACCGAAAAGGTAACCAAAGTTTAGGCAAATAATGTTTATTTTTATATTGATGATACACTTAATATATATGTGGATCAAGATACAAAATTCATTTACAAGAGTTCACACCTGATGTAGTCACATTCCTAGAGAACATGTATCAATGCAAAAATTTATTTTTAATATATACTGACAAGAAAAATCAAATAGTCTGTAATCTTACTACTTAGAAACTTCAAAACAATAACGGTTAACTTTCCATCCTCTTGTATTCTAGTGCCCGAAGGGAGGTAGGCACCAGGGAACAGAAGAAAATGCTTGGACATCTACTGAATCTGGTCTGCAGAATCACAGTGTTTACTCTGAAATTCATCTAGTGAAGTAGTGAAAGGCTTGCTATCTATTACAAATCACATATCATACAAAAGTCAAGTGTGACAAACTCAAGAAAATAATGTGATGCAAGAAGCTCTCGGTTTCTAAAGCCTATGCAGTATCCACCCTAGCAGACAAAGCAGAAAAAGGCTGCTGGAGAGAAAACAAAATCCCTTTTTAAAGAGAAATGCATGGCTTAAGCAATGTAGAAACACAAGAGACAAGAACGTTTACAATACCACAAACGAGTGACAAAGTGATTTTACCCCCATAGTCACTGTTAGTACATAACCCCTTCAGAATGCATCCCGGGAACATAAAAACTAACGAACCCAATGATTTGCTGTCTTAACAAGAGAGCCGAGCAAATGAACTTTGTTCTAAACTGTCACCCACAATACCCAGATTTCAATACAAGAGAACAAGATTAGGTCTTGAGGGTTGCAGTGATCTGTGAACAATGAACTTCATTATTTGCACGACAGATTAGCAACACGGGGATAGAACTGTTACACGGAGATTATTGTGCTTGGATCTCTTGAGGAGAGCTAAGAATTCCTATAGTGTTACAACTCTAACATTTCCGTTTGACAAGCATGATTAAAAAAAAGTATTTCACACTAGAAAATCAAGTAATTAGATCCTCCACATGTAATTTTTGCTATGATTTAAACAAGTGCATTTCTGCCTGATGCTCGTAATGCAGATAGCAGCCTCAGATTTACACTTTTTTTCAGGGGAAAAAGACATGACTTGTTTTAACTCCTATTATCTTAACCTTTAGTGACACTTTGAGTAGTATGAACAGCACTCAACTTTATGATGGAAAATGCTAGAGGAAAGAATTCATGGCCTGAAATGACAATAACCTTTAGAGCAAAGGAAAACATGATTTACAAGTGTTTCATCTGATTGTTGGATCAGTGTGACCCCTGCTTTATGCTGGTGCCATGAAGATAAGCTGCACAAAGTTGACTGGGAATGTTAGGACATTGTGTCTGCCTTTTCAATTATCTAACACCTTGCTATCTCAACTGGAAGGACGTTGCAAAGTACTGAACTCCAGTAGTTGAATAGCAAGGTTTTTTAAAAAATAAGCAGGTGGATTAACTAGCAATGAAGTCCTTTGCAAAAATAATGCATCCAGATAACCCAGAGAAGCCACAAAAGTTCCACATTAGTTTACTGACCAGTAGGTCATTTTACTGATGAAAATGGTAAAGAAATGAAAATACCCAAATGTTGAGGAAATAAAAATTTCAGGTAATAAAAATTTGTACTGTGCCACACACTGTAAGCATTTTTTCCTGCAGATTTATGTGTAGAAAAGAGGATGGGAATAGAATTTTGAAAAAAAATACAGTAAGAAAAATAGTTTTTTTCTCTATGGATTGCAACTATTTACTTTGGAACTACGTATAATTTCATAATTTTATATTTTAAAATGGTTCTTCATACCGATTTGAAGAACGTTTATGATTAAAGTTTTAATGCCTAAAATCTGAGTGTTCAGTCACGGACACATGGATGTTCATAAAAACTTCAAAAGAGAAAACCATGTATTGTGATATAAAGTCAAAATTTAAATATTGTTTACTGCAGACCTGTTAGGCTAGCCATAATTCATTACCACACCCAGAGTGATAAATATTCAGTCTAATAATTCATTCTGTAAGCCAATGGGGAAAGTAAACATCTGAAATTATTAAATAATATAACTAAAAAGATGATTGTCTTATATATATTATCATTATCTTCCAAAACAGGAAGCATGCTCCCAATTTATAAAGTCTGTTCTATGACCAAATTCAGGCTTAAGTGAATCTGTGGTATGTACTTCAAATTATTGAAAAACGGTAGATTTGCAGTTTTTAAGAATCACATTACTTAGTCTGATAACTAAAAATTTTTAAAATCACAAAAGAAGTTAACAAAAATATTTTAAATTAAGAAATGGTGCTTCAGTCAGTGATTAAGTAACGACGTAATGTAAAAATGGAGTCTTCTCAAAAGTCAATATCACACTAAACCAGTAAGTGAAGAATACCAAGTTTGGCTTATGAAAACATTTCCTATTTACAAGATTGCAAAGAAAATATTTCTATGGCACCAACATCTTTGAACTGAACACATACATCTTCACCTAACTGTGTTTTCCCCTCCTTCATCCTGACACTTTTCCGGTCAATAGGTGATAGATTCCATTCACACATCAGTAATTTTCACTTAAATACAAGGCATGCTTAACTCTCTGTGCTCAGAATTCCAAAGTGGAAGATGGTGTAGCATTGTTTTGAAATTCCAGTTGTAAGATGATCTGCTTTGACCATCTGTAATGTAAAGTGGATGGAGGATCCTGGAGTACAGCCCAGAGAGGGTGTCTCAGTGTACAGAGCAGCAGGAGAAGGGGAAAGGTTGGTCTTAACTGCAAAGTGACTGCAGTCAGAGGTCATGGTCACAACTGCATTCTTATCTATTGCATTTTTAAAAAATTGCCGCTGTTTCCCAATTAATGTCCTCACTGAGCCTGAGTCAGTTCCATGGATTATACGTAACAGCATCTGTTCTCTCCAGTTAAAAAAAGGCAAAAACAAAAAACCAAATTGGTTATGGGAAAGAGTATCAAAGCCTAGAGATATTGTCAATGACTTCTCAATATATTACTAAGATTTAAGATTTACTCAAGCAATAAGGTTATACTTTTAAGTTTAATATTAAAATTGAAGACTGTTACCAACAGTTGGCAATAAAATTAACTCGAACTAATTTCCTTTTGTTAAATAATTTTTTAAATGTTCCATCAAACAGTCTTCTGAAGAATGGGATAAAAAGTTGCTTTGCAATTGAATTTTATCATGCAGAAACAACCTTGGCTTAATTTCTTGAGTGTTCAGTACACACCTGAATAATCTGGTTACAGGCATTTTGCATTGATACTCTGCAGTAATCCGTAGGTAAGGCCCTGCACAAATCCTCCCCAACCTCTCATCCTTGGCAGAAGTGTGAAAGCTGAGATTCTGACAGCATACCATGCTCCTAATGTTGAGAATTCTACTTCCTGTGTGAATACATCAAAATGGTAGAACTTAAGTGGTCTCATGGAGACAAGGCGAAACTGGAAGCACACGATTGGCAAGGAGCATGTCCCTGGATGAGCAGACTCCTCTTGGGCATGCCACTCCAGTAAGAAAACCTGTAGCTGGAAATGCCAAGAGAGCTCTAAATCACAGTGGCCGCAAACACGGAGATCCTCCACGTCCTCGTCCTCATTCAGTCCCACGCCCCCTTGAGGATAGACCTGCCTTTAGCCAATGCCCCGTCACTGCCTCATAGAGACACATAGAAAGCGAGGCACAGTGATGAAAACAATTGTTCCAAACTTAAGATTCAGTATCCGGTATTGAAGTAATAACTGGGAATGTGTATCTGTGTACTTAAAGACAATTTCCTATTTTAAATGTGAGTCAAGTGATTTTCTCCCTTGATTAATTACCAATATAAATAATTTCCTACTCAGCACTTAAATGTGAGTCAAGAAAATAAAACATCTAAATGAACCTGCTGGTGTCTGTTTTTTCACATACTTAGGCATTTATATCTGTCATCAGTTTAAATGGAAATGTCCAGGTTTTAAAGCTAAGAATATCCAGCTTTCTATTAAGCTCTTTATAATATGATTTCAACTCCAAATGAGCCCATTTATCCAAACACAAGCCCCTCAAAATAGAAGCTCATGAATGAGATACAACCACAAGCTAATTACAGTAGCATGAGCAATGCCACTAGGATGTCCTCACAGAACTTAAATAAATTCAGCCCACAAATGGGTATGGGAATATAATATACACATATCATTGAATACCAAAGTATTTACAATATGTACACATATACAAGAAGTATACAGAGATTGCATTTAGCATCACAGAAATATACACATGCCATTCAAGATAAGAGTTTCAAATAAATAGTCAATAAAAGAGCCCTACATGTAAGTACCGTTTGTACTCTTCAAGCACTAAGAACCCAACCAAGCAGAATCTCCATAAGAGACTCCACGTATTCATATCCACGTTGTCTCTCACGCTCGGAGTGGGGATGGTTCTGAATCACCAGTAGACCTTGGCCCCTGACTACACTTCCAGTCACGAATGTTCTGGATATCAGACTGATGACACGTCTCCAAGGACAACCGAGTATGGGACTTTTCAGCTGGGTCTCAACTGTTTGTGAAAGATGGAAAGTTACTGGATTACATAAACTTGACTGTTAAAACTACAAAAACTGATACATGAACAGATCTGTCACTTTTCTCTTTGTCTCAACTAAATTCAGCACAGTGACCACTGATTTTTTCCAGGGAATTCTGCTGCATGAAAAGTCAAAAAGTGCTAGCTAGCCACAAGAAGCATGACTGGATTGCACTTTGCTTCTACTACTTTGAAATGTTTCAGTTTGGCAAAAATATGAACGGTACAATAAACTATGTTTTGAGAGGTTTGGACAGCACCACTCTGGAAGCAAAACACACAAAGAAAAAAATAATTTCCTAATAATTAAAATTTTTCTAGATCTGACTTAATAACTAGTTTCAGTATTTCATATAGTAACAAGGAAAATCAAACCAAAACACAACTTTTATGCCAACAGATAAACCTCTGGTTCTTTCTCATTGGTTATAGGAAGCAGTCTGAGCTACTGGTAAGACTGGGCTTAGAGTAGCAGCTGGGAGTTTTCTACCTCTATGAGAATAACTGGATAGCCTCTGGACCTGTAAAATAGGGAAGATGCTCACTTCCCCAACTTCAGAAATAGGTGCATAAATAAAAATTCCTTGTATTCTGTACATCACTGACTTGTTGCAATTGCATGTGTTTTATTGTGTTTACAGTGGTTCTTCAAAGGAAACCAGAGACTATCAGGTCCTTCAGGGTGAGTCTGTGGAGTTGGGAAACAAAGATGCACTCGTTCCCACTGCTTTTGCTCTGTTCTTAATTCCGATATTTAAATTTTTGTGAACTGTAAAATTAAATATATAAATAGGGCTTAGTACTTTTATATTTAGAAAGGAGAAGGATATGCGTTTGAAACACCAAATATTTTGCCATTGTCATGTTAGGCCCACTGAATGACAGTTGTTTTATATGTCTTCTTCCTTGATTAAATAAAAACCTTAAATGTAGAAACTGAGTACAGGATAGCACAAGGGCTGCTTAAAACCGTCCTGATCAAAAGTAAAGGCCAAGAAGACAAAGTGTGCAAATGTGAAGGTAACTGGAAGTCTGCCCTGACCACGCTTAAACCAAGACTCCTTTTACTGTGCTTGAAAATGTTTTCTGTTGTATGTCATCGTCTTATTTATTTATTTTGGTTCTATGTCTGCTAATATAATTTTCCCAGAAGAAAACCTGAAGTCTCATTTCTTTGAAGCTGTAAGTGAAGCAGTCATTTAGAATCTTGTCAGTACAGTTTTCCTCTGTTGAAAGATCATTTTAGTCCACTTTATACTTAGTAACTGTCAGAAATCACACTACACAAACAGAAGGACCAATGTCATGGCAAGATACATGTGTTACTAACTGTAAAAGCTCTAGTTTCTGCCAGGACTGACTATGAACTAGTTTCCAAAACAGCTAAGGGGAATCCAGCAACGTTCTGGAAGAAAATCTAGGTAAATATAACCTGGAAAAGAAAAGGTCGTATTTGCTAAAAACAAGGAAACTAATTTTCCTAGTTGCAGAAAGGAGGAAATTAGGATTTTTGACCAAAGAGTTCAAATTACAGAATTACTGGGTTTGAAAGGAACTTGGACCAATCCCTTGATTCTACAGTTGGGAGTGCTGAAAAACTGAGAAATGGAGACACAGTCTAGTGTCTAACGCTAGTGCCTAGGGAAGCCGGGATTACAATTTATGTCTCCTAGTTTTTCAGACCAGTGTTACTTATGCTTAGCAGGTGCAAATAAAACCCAGGCCAATAAGTATGATATGAAACATCAGAGAGCTGGCTGGATTTAACTAGCACAGAGCTTGAGGAAAATCTGGAGGTCCAATAGGGTGTCACTGGAGGCCAGGGAATCTGGGATGTTTCTGATGCTACTGTAAACAACCCATCTGAAAAGGAAAGCCAGCCCACTAGTCAAGAAGCCTCTTGGAAGGATAACTTCCCTCAAGCCTGCTGAAGCACTCTTAGAAAGATCCAAAAATAAAACACACCAAAGTCCCCAACCCAAGAACAGTAACTCAAGATTTCCGTTGGGGGGGAAAACCCTAGAAAATTGGAGAAGGTATGTGAATTAAACTTAGATTCAAATTATCTTCATGCCAGAAGTGAAACTCCACTGAAAACATTACAGTAACTTTTCCAGAAGGTCATAACAAAGAGACTCCCAAAACAATCACCTCATTTCACCTGGGACTGCCAGAGGTAGCATGTGATCCTGAAAAGAAAATTAGGTAGGAAGGCTTTCAAAATCACAGATTTGGGGCCCGGCGCGGTGGCGCAAGTGGTTAAAGGTCCTCGCCTTGCACGCCCGGGATCCCATATGGGCGCCGGTTCTAATCCCGGCAGCCCCGCTTCCCTTCCAGCTCCCTGCCTGTGGCCTGGGAAAGCAGTCGAGGACAAGCCCAAAGCTTTGGGAACCTGCGCCCGTGTGGGAGACCCGGAAGAGGCTCCTGGCTTCGGCTCGGCATGGTATCGGCCCGTTGCGCTCACTTGGGGAGTGAATCATCGGATGGAAGATCTTCCTCTCTCTCTCCTCTCTGTATATCCGCCTTTCCAATGAAAAAATAATAAAAAAATAAATAAATAAAAAAAAAAAAATCACAGATTTGAATTTCAGCGCTGTGCGATCAAAAGGGGGGGAGCCAAAATGTCATAGTTGGTATCCGAAATTGTAAGGGGGATGACAGGGAAGAAAAATGCAAAAACCTTTATATTATGCACCAAGTCCTATTTAAAATAATACAAAAAATGGGCATGAATATAAAATACTATACACAGGGAGTTTTAACAAAGCCTATTTAAACACAGCAATTGCAAAATCAACTTGGATTTTAGGTTTTACCATACCCAGTTAAACCACAACTAAATATCTCTGATTGTGAAGTATCCTAAATGTGGATTCGGGGAAAACAATTAGAAACTCTCTAACAGAGACACTGTATAAGGAAACCAACGACCTGATGTTTTGTCTGAAGCATTTAGAACTTTTTTTCCCCATTTCCAACAAAAACTGACAAAAAAAAAAAAGCAAAATCAGTTTCATAATAATGCTCAAATGTCCCAAGGAATAGTTAACAGTTTTCACATGCAAATGAATCCTATTCAGTTTCTGAACTTCCAAACTGTGTTTAAAGGAATCGAATGGTTTCATCTTCCTTTGAGAATCGCACATTTCTCTGCCGACTAATGTGGAAAGAGAGGAAAGCTCAGGACTGTGCTCCTGCTCTCTGGCGGGCCGAGCTGGCTAGCTGCATCAACGGGGCAGTTACGTACTCTCCAAAATCAGGTATTTAAGGTCCAAGTGTAAGAGTTGCAAATTTCCTTATAATATAAAAATAAGTGATTTACTCTCCTCAGGGTGAGAACAGTGACAACTGGAGCGGAGGGGCAGATGCTGGAGGCACATACTCACACCTCAAAACCGAAAATAAAAATTCCAAGATTGACTGACTTTTTTAAAAGACCCGAAAGGTTGCATTTTAAAACTGTTACCCTAAAAGTCTGAATATTTTTCAGTTTTTTTTAAATGGCGGTCCTAAATTAAAAAATAAAAACGAAGTAACACCACTATGTGTCTGTCATCACATTAAAAAACTGCACCATTTAAGTTCTGTGGAAAATGAAAAACTGTTTCAACATGAGGGTTTTAATAGTCATCTATGGTATTCTCAAAGAACACGTTTCGCACATCCAGAATGGACGCCAATTCCAAAATGTGCTTCTGCAGGTGCGGATTCTCCACCGTCTCATCTCTCGGCAGCTGTGGGTATGATTCTGGATAATTTCGTGTTTCCTGTAAGGAAAGAAGACACTCAAATTTTATGGTCAAATGGCAGAAAATTATACACAAAACTAACAATATTAAGGAGTTAACTTCACCTGTATTGTTTCCACCCTATTATATGATTTTTATTCTTAATCATTATTATTTAGAATTTAATTTTAGATGATGTTACCATAGTTGCTCAGAGTGGGATGGATCAAGGGTTAGTAGGGAAAAGTGGGTGTGATTATCATTTCTATATTTTCTGTTTCTCCTTCTTGTTTTTTGCGGGGGAGGAGGTGGGATAAGGCAGAAGCCATACCCAGCCTCTTAACTGCTCCAGCAGCCAGGGATGGAGAATGAGCACTTGGTATCAAGCCAGGGTCCCAGTGTGGTGCATACACAAAGTTTTGCCCAGGTGGTTTTGATAGTTCTGAAATGTTGTCAATCTCGCCGAACCAAGGATGAGGGAACACTTTCAATGTTCATTAGCGGACACAGCCAACTTCAGCATCTCCATTTGCCCAGATATTTCCTGCCTTTCCTGCCATTGTTTGGCTGGGGTAGTTGTCCAATTTGCTCCGTTCTCTTTCCTCTGGGATGGTACAGATGTCCCTTGCAGGGCTCAATGGGCTGCCATATTCTACATGTGGATCTGAGCCTATTGTCCACTACTCCGCCTTTTCCGCCGAGGAGGACCAGTTCTGATAGATGGGCCAAGGACCCTAACCAGGCAACATGTGCCCTGCTGGACCCACTGCAACTAAGGCTCACTGAACTGGCTCCTACCACGTAGGTGGGCCAAGAACCTGGGCCAGGAGACTGGGCCCCTGCCAGAACCTCCATCCTTGGTACTCACAGACCAGGCTCTCACAGTGCAGGTAGGCCAAGGACCGGGGCCAGACAACCCAAGCCTACTGGACACTCTGCCTGTGAGGCTCATGGACCTGGCACCCACCACACAGGTGGGCCATGAATTTGGGCCCTGCTGGACCTCCCACCCCTGGGGCTCTCAGACCCAGCATCCACCTTCCCCCCAACTATCATGGCTTGTCTCATCTCGGCATCGACCAGCGGGTGCTGCAGCCTGGCTCGGTCCAGTCTGACCCCAGTTCCAGCTCAAACTAGTGTGTTCTACAGTCCAGTCAGGCCCAGCCAGTCCCTAGTCCAGGCTGTCATGAGAACTGGCTGGTGTTGTAGCCTGACCTGGCTCCTCCTGCATCCCGTCCTGGTTCTCAGATCTACCAGTAGATGCTATAAACTGGCTCAGACTGGCCCACTCCTGGACCTTAGTCATATGTATACCAGTGGGTATTGTAACCTGGCCTGGTCTGGGCTACTCTTTGCCTTGGTTCTTGCACTTATCTGTGAGAACTGAGTTCTGACAAAGGGGTTTTCGAAGCTCCTCTATTGAGCTTTCCCAATGGTAGATATTGCACATGCCAGTGGCTCTTTGGCCCAGGTAGACTTTGGCCACTTCTTGTCCTAGCATAACAATGGCCTTGCCCAACCAGCCCATAGCCATTCCATTTCTTACTGTTAGGTGCCACAGGCCAGCCATACCTGGTCTCTATCCAGACACAGCTCTCATGTGGATCAGCGGGAACTGAGACCTAGCCCAGCCAGTTCTATACACATGCTGGCTCTCGTGTGTACCAGTGAGTACTGTAGTCTAGCCAGGTCTGGCTCTCCCCAGACACAGTCCACATCCATGCCAAGGGAGACTGCAGCCATGTCCAGTCTAGACCAATACCCCATTCTGACTCTCGCACTCACCAGGGGAAACCCCAACCCAGCTGGGGTGTCCCCTTAGCACCCCAGCCAGGCCTGTCACCAGTCACAGCTCTAGCATGTGCCAGTGGAGATTGTTGTTCCACAGGAGTGAGAACACACCCCCCAACACACAAATTCCACCTCCACTCCTGATTCACTCACGTGCTGCTCAGTGTCATGGCCCAGCCACACATTACCCATCCACTGTTCCAACTCTCACTGGTGGGCACCTTGATCCAGCCCTATCAGGAGTGCCCCCATCGCAGCCTCAGTGTGTGCCTGTGAGTGATATTTTTGTGATAATTAATGCTAATTGCTCCAGCTCAGGTCTTGTAGGTGAACTGGTATTTCGGTCTGACCCTTAAAGGTCCTCGTGTTCCTGGCTCCAAACAACTCGGTCTCAGCACCCTTAATGATCTGCTAGAACACTGGCAATGTCCATGGAAGTCCCTCAGAAGTCATCACATGGACATGAACTCTATGTTCCTACACGCCCCCACCTGTGCCAACCACAAGGCCCCTTATAGGCCCACACCCCCAAGTCCCCAGAGCTTGTTGCTGGCTAGCCTGAGTGAGGGCTTTGCCTGGCATCCTTGAAGTCCTGGCTTCCTGACCCAAGATGGCACCAGCTGCATTTAAGCAGTTGGCAGGCTGAAATTCCCAGGTCACGAGGCTAGGCTGTGCTCCCTCCCACCAGTCAAGTTAATGTCAAGTTAATGAATTTGTTCAGCATACCAAAGCGTTGACATTTGACCATTGTAACCTTTTTTTTTTTTTTTTTTAATAAAGGATTCATTGTTGTTAGTTTCATTAGAAAGGCAGAGTTGCAGAGATGAGGATAGAGTTCACTCCCCAAATAGCTGGGACTGAGCTGACTTGAAGCCAGGAGCTTTTTCTGGGTCCCCTACATGGGTACAGGAGTCTGAAGACCTGAGACATTCTCTACTGTTTTCCCAGGTCACAAGCAGGGAGCTAGATGGGAGGTGAGGTAGTGGGGACACAAATCAGTGCCCATATGGGATCCTGGTGCATGCAAAGATTTAGCCACTAGGCTACCATGCCAAGCCTAGTAAATTTTTTTTCATTATTTATTTTTATTGAAAGGCAGATATACAGAGAGAAGGAGAGACAGAGAGGAAGATCTTCTTCTTTCTGCTGATTCACTCCCCAAATGGGCTCAACAGCTGAAGCTGAGCTGATCCAAAGTCAAGAGCCACAACCCTCTTCTGGGTCTCCTACAGGGGTGCAGGGTCCCAAGGCTTTGGGCCATCCTATACTGCTTTCCTAGTTCACAAGCAGGGAGCTGGATGGGAAGTGGGGCAGCCAGGGCACGAACTGGCATCTTATGGGATCCTGGCATTTGCAAGAAGAGGACCAGCCAATTAAGCCATCATGCCAGGCCTGTAAAATGCTTTTGATAGAAGATGATGTGAATATACAGAAAATCTTAAGGAATGCATAAAAAGCTGAAAGAACTAATAAGTCGATGCAACAAGGTTTTAGAATACAATGTTAATTTCAGTGTATCGTCTTCCCCACCCCCGACCCACCAAATTTATTTGAAAATTTATTTGAAAGGCTGAGAGAAGCAGAAAGAGACCTTCATCTTCTGTTCACTCCCCAGATGGCCAAAACAGCCAGGGCAGGGCAGACTGGAGCCAGGAGCTTTATTTGGAAAAATTAGTTTAAATTTTGTCAACATTTTAAAAGTTTAGTTTTTTTTTCCCTCCAAGATTGATTTATTTTATTGGAAAGATATATCACACCTAAGGAGAGAAGGAAAGACAGAGAGAATGATCTCCATCCACTGGTTCACTCCCCAAGTGACCGTCACAGCCGGGGCTGAAGGAATCCAAAGCCAGAAGCTTCTTCTGGGTCTCCCATGTGGGTGAGCGTCCCAAGGCTTTGGACCATCTTGTACCATCTTTTCCAGGCTGTAAGAAGGCAGCTGGATGGGAACTGGAGCAGCTGGGACATGAACTGGTACCCATATGGGATTCTGGCGCTTGCAAAGTGAGGATTAGCCATTCAGCCATCATGCTGGACGCAAAAAGTTTAGTTTTTAAAAAGCCACTGTTAAGGAAACAAAAAGGCAGGCCACAGAATCATATAAAATATAGTCAATAAGCACATGAAAATTATTCAATATTATTAATCATGACTGACCAGCATGAGATACCCTTAACATATGCATCTTAATGGTCCTAGTTTGATGTCAAGGGCCCCGCATGATGGCTCTATTGACTAATCCTCTATCTGCAAGCACCAGCACCTCAAATGGGTGCTGGTTCATGTCCCAGCCGCTCCACTTTCCATCCAGCTCTATGCTTGTGGCCAGAGGAAGCCATGAAGGATGGTCTAAAATCTTGGAATCCTGCACCTGCATGGGAGACACAGGAAGGGACTCCTGGCTCCTAGCTTTGGATTGTCTCAGCTCTGTTGTGGCCAAATAGGGAGTGAATCACCAGATGGAAAATCTCCCTGTCTCTCCTTGTCCCTGTAAATCCCTGCTTGTGGCCTGGGAAAGCAGTGGAGGACGGCCCAGAGCATTGGGACCCTGCACCCGTGTGGGAGACTCAGAAAGAAGTTCCTGGCTCCTGGCTTCGGACTGGCACAGCACCGGCCGTTGCAGCCACTTAGGGAGTGAATCACTGGATGAAAGATCTTCCTCTCTGTCTCTCCTCCTCTGTATATATCTGACATTGCAATATAAATGAATATTTTAAAAAATCTAAAATGATACAGCTGGTCTCAAGAAACACTAATGGTTTCTTTTGTGGAACCCATCTCCACACTATACTCAAAATACAGAAAGAAACAAAGGCAGCAAAATGTATTATTAAGAGAAGCAAAAAAATCTGAAAACACTCCACAAAGAAGACAGAGAGTAATACATAAAAACTGCTCCATTTCAGTAGCAATCTGAAATGGAAATAAAACCACAATGATTTAATACTACCAGATTCACATATACCATGAGCTAGGACTGCAACAAGTCTTACCACAAAGAATTAGAGACCCAGCAACTCTGACACACTGCCAGTGTAGACAGATGCGACCGCTGTGGGACACAGCTTGGCATTACGTGGCGGAGCTGAACATGCTCATTCTACCATTTGCTCTTATAGCTTCACGATTAGGTATATTCCCCCAGAGAAAACTTTCCATATGAGCACCAGGAAATTGATACAAGAATTTCACAACAGCATCATTTATAGAATAAAATACTGGCAATAATCCAGGCATTCATTATCAGTGGAGAGGATCAGTCATTTGTGTTATATGGTTAAATGATGCCTCATATTGTATAGTCAATAATACATTGTCATCAACAATGCATGGTCTAAGGGACATAACATTGAAAAAAAAAGTCATGTGGATCCATCAAAATGTCATATAGAAATATAAGCGGGCATGGAAAAACTACCAAAAAAAAAATAACATAAAATTCAGGATGTCAGCTGGGTTTGAGAGGTCCTCAGAGGGAACGGATGCAGACGCTCTGGCTGCTCCTTGACATGATTTGTTTACACATTAATCCGTAAAGACTACTTCGCATCTTTTCAAACGTCAACATAAGTAAACAGGACTTGTAAATAACTAAAACGGCAAAAGTTGTCTTAATATTCTTTGCCTACCCGAAATATCTTGTGCATCCTCATGGTGGCTGAACAAAAGATAAATCTTGTGAGAAGCAAGCGAAGAAATTCATCTCCAAAAAACTGGAGAAAGGCCTGATCTGCAAAGAGGAGAAAGGTGACAGTCAAAGGCCGTTGACATGGACAGGACACATCTCAGGGGACGTAGGCTTCAGGAAAACCTACTCAACTCTCCTGCCTGGGACAGACGCGTTTACAAGGTCACATCACACTAACACACATGCTGCACGTGCAGTTAGATCAGTAGGGTACCTATTGAGCGTGAATGGGTCAGTAGCTGCGCAATATCGCGGTTGATTTTTCGAAGATATTCTTGGCACTTTTCCCACAGGCCTCTACGCATGCTTGACAATCCAGAGACAAATAGGAAGGCCATTAGAGGATTGTTCAAAAAGAGAGTGAAGAGGCTACCTCGTTGAGACTGATCTGTAATAACAAACACGTTTTATGTACAGAGACAATAGTTTTGCAGAAGTGACATAGGAGGAACATTTAATATACTGATGATGCAGACAGAGCATTAACACTATCATTAAGACACAAGTCAACAAGGTAGAATTGCACAAAGCTGTAAGAACTCACCCCAGCGATATCACTTCCTGCTTAACCAACTTAAAATGCTGATTCCTAAGTCTCTATCTACAGTCTAAACCAAATTGCTAAACAATGGCAGTGAGGCACTGAGGCACAGTGGTTAAGCTGCCACTTACAACATGGGCATCCCATATTAGTTTCAGCTGCTCTGCTTCTGATGCAGCTCTCTGCTAATGATCATGGGCAAGAAGTAAAAGATGGCCCAAGTACCTGGGCCTTTGTCATCCACACGGGAGACAGGGACAGAGTTACAGGCTGCTGGCTTCAGACCGGCCCAGCTTGGGTTATGGTGCTCATTTGGAGAGTGAACCAGCAAATGGAAGATCTCTCTCTCCTCTTTCTCTGTAACTCCACCTTTGATTTATATTAAGTAAATCTTTACACTGCAAAAACTAAAACCAAACAAAAAACAATGATAGCACATATTGAGTACTTACAGTGTACCCAGCATTATTCTATCAAATGGGTACTATTATTATTTCCATGGGATGAATGAAGAAACTAAGTATGGATGATTAACTTCCCAAGGTTACAGAGCTAGTATGTGGCTAAATCAGGGTTCAAATTCCATCAGTTATCACCAAAAGTCTGTGCTCTTTTTCCTCTACCTGATAAAATTCTTCAGACCAACTGATCTTGGCATCAATCCTTTTGACCATGTAATTTCAGATACAGCTCCACTATGTTAGAACACACTGAAGGTAAGAAGCACCCTTAAAAATGGGAAGGGGTTACACACCTCCAGAAAGATGAACAGCATAACAAAATCCTCAGAAAAGAATTTTACCATTGTTTTGAAGGTAAGTTCTACCCTTTAGCAATCTTTCAGATGTATGAACATAATATTCCTACATTTTTTTTCTCCTGTTAAACAGTAGAACTTACCTTAAAACAACGTTGAAAGTCTCCAGCTTCTCTCAGGCATTCAAATGCTGACCATCACTTCTTGTGTCAAGCTATGTCAGCAGACAGGGCTCGTGCTGGGAAGCAGCAGTCAAATGCCATCTCCCACAAAGACAGATCAGTACTAGTCACAGTCAGGGAGGTGGCGAAGAGTGACAAGGACTGCCAAGACGGCATCGTGGCTTGCTTAGTCTGTGACCTATACTACATGATGGGGAGTTAGATTTTATGTGTTACCTGAAAAGGACAAATCATTAAGGACAAAATTCCTCTCATTCTCAGCCACTGGAGAATTGGCTGGCAAACAGAAGAGGTTCTTTTACACACAAAGTACAAAGTGACTATGTGAATAAAAGACACTCTAAGTTGTGCCAGTTGGGTTATCCTAACACTAACACAAGTTGAGACGTTTTCTAAACCAGTGATCATTAGTCTTAAAAGATGCCCACACTATTTAAATCAAAGATTCAGTAAATCTATGTCAGATGGCCGTGACAAGCCAATCAAAGGAAACGCCTACAAAGTAAATTTCAGAATGTATACATCATGAGATCATCAATAGCAAGAAACAAACCCATCTTTCTGAGAGTGCCGCATCTCAAAGTTTAACAGTGGCACATTAAGGAATTCTAGTGATGGGCAAGGCATCAGGGTGTGCTTGCTATTGCCACCTGCCGTACTAAACACCAAACAAACTCATGTGTGATCATTTTGGTAGAGAAAAACAAAGCTCAGTATTGTTCAAACGGCAGACAGTGTAGAGCAGGCAACGAGAGAACATACCTTGCAAAGCCTTTGGGTATGCTGTAGGAGAAAGCAAGCAGACGAGCGGCTGTCCAAACAAGTTTGTGAAATTCTGTAATATATAAACATTTGAAACTTGTATCAAAGACCAACCAAACATAGTTTCTTAGAAATTTCCCAAAAGCATATCATTAGTGTGTTCACTCGTCAGCAGATACAGCAACTCAGTCCCAGGTAGAGAGCCTGCCATTCATACAGTTACTACACCTACCAGGCCCCTTAAGGGTTTTCACCCAAACAGTGGAGTAAGTGCTCCCTTGATTTTTCAGAGAGGCGTCTGTGAGGAGCCCTGAGCGGTCCACAGAAACAGAAGAACAGTAAACTCCCTTCGGCACTAGGGAGAGGAGCTTTCTCTGGTCCTTACTTGTTCCAACTTTGAATCTTCACCCTCTCCTGCAATGACCATCAGGGTCACTCCGGAGCCCCCTCCCAAAAAACAACAACAACAAAATTAGGACAGACAGAGAAAGCTTAGAACAAAGAAAGCTTAGAACCAGACAGGAAACGGTCAGCGTGGATTCACATTTACCTTACTAGGAGGACACAAAGATTAGTTGTTACTCCTCATTAAGGTATTGAGGACTTCTCTGCTCACCCCTCCTAAAACTGTTCTGCAACTAAACTGTTGACATATGCCTTGTTAGAGTTATAAGCCAGTTTAGACTATCCTAAAATCTGCCAAGTTCAATAAAAATTAAGCCTCAACACTATAAACTGCTAAATACTAAAATGAAGATAGACACACGACAGCTGAATAGTACCCTATAGCCATTTTAAGGTGTATAGAAGCCGGTTGTACATAAACTAAAATTGAAATTCAATGAAGTAGTCACAGGATGTGGTTAAGAACTTGCATTTTCTCCCATCCAAGTACTAACCATCCCCAACCCTGCTTAGCTTCATGAGATCAGACAAGATCAGGCACGTTCAGGGTGGTATGGCCGGAGACAGAACTTGCATTTTCTAACATATTGGTTACTCAATACCATGTCAATTAACTCCATAATGCTGTAAATTGTTGTTGATGTTATGTTGGGGCTTTTAATTGGTTGGGATGATATTCTGCCAGCTCTGCCTTCAGACCAGAGATGGTTTCCCCAAGAAACTGTTGAATTTATCTGGACAATAAGATGCTTGACTCTGCTTGGTATATGCTTGCAACGAAGAATCTTGACTACATTTGAACTGTAATACTGCAACAATGTGGAGAAATCCACCATGGGGGGAGGGTATGGGGAATCCCAGAGCCTATGAAACTGTGTCACAAAATGAAATGTAATAGGTAAAAAAAAAAAAAAAAAGAAAGAAAGAAAGAAAGGCATCCATGGACAGCAGGGCTGCAGCGAGAACGCCATCTTGTGTCTACCAAGAGACTGCTGCAGTGGGAACTGCACTGCAGTACAAAACCAGCGAGTGTTCCAAGATCTGGGATTGGGCTTTCAGCCTCAAAGGCACCAAAACTGGCTCTAAACATGTGTATGGAGTGGATCCATCACTTGGTGTGGATCATTGCAACTTCTCAGATGTAATGATGTATAAACCCATAACCACTATAGCTATTAACTTCTAATGAAAATTGGGCTGATACTCCAAATAGGGAATTCTGTATAATTAAGGCTATCCTTTCTTGAAAGGGAGAGCTACATGAGAGGTAAAATCATATACTTGTAAACCAACAAGCAAGATAAAGCTCCCAGAAATAAATTCAATAAGAAATGAGAAAACTAGAAATACTCCTGAATGATAAAGATGAAGACTTGAACACATAGAAAGAGATGAACTAATTCTAAAATATCATTACACCAATTCATTAAAATTTAAACAAACCTCAAAAGTAGCCACTGACATGTCATTCCTCTATAACTGAAAAAGGCAACACCGAGATTCACATACAAAAAAAAAATAAAAATTAACCAGGAAAACTCGGATTTAGGTTAAACTCAAAAACATATTAGCTTGGGAGAAAAAAAAAGTTTATAGCAGCTAGTTGTGTATATACTAAAGCTGAGATGCCAAGGAAGTAGTTATAGGATGTTGTTAAGAATTTGCATTTTCTAACATATTGGTTACTCAATACCGTGTTAATTAACTTCATGATGCTGATAATTTCAATGTTTCTTCCAGTTGTTGAAGTTGTGTACTGACATCTCATTAGAGGAGATGATATTCTGCCAGCTCTACTTTCAGACCAAGGATGGTCTCCCAATGAAACTGTTAAATTTATCTGGACAATAAGATGCTAGACTCTGCATGGTCCATACCCACAATGAACGAATCATGACTGGATAGAATCTGTACCACTGTAACAATATGGAGGAATTCAGTATGGGGGGAGGGGCTGGGGAAATCCCAGAACCTATGAAACTGTGTCATAAAAATGATATAAAATTTAAAAAAATAATGCTTAAAAAAATACATGGCACTGGCTTGAGTAGAACAGAATTAAAAGTGCAGCATTAGATCTCGAAACATTAAGGACTTCTGCATGTGTAACAAAGGTAATAATGCAAATTGGTCAGGATAATTAGATAGCCCCCCAGGAAAAAAAAAAGTGGCCCCACTCATGGTCTGCATCCCTATATACAAGGATAAATTCCAAATACAGTAAAGATTTTGAGCTTTCTGCCTTTATCTTTTATTTTTAAAATTTTAGTTTATTTGGGATTCCCACCCCCAACTCCTACCCCAAGACAGACTTTCCCCACGCTGCTACAATAGTACAGTTCTTCATAAGGAGTCATAATTCCATCAGTCTCTTATTTAAGTGTGCCCCGACATTGCTGGTACAGTGTGAAACAGTCCGGCATCCCATTGTCTACACATTTACAACAGTTTCAATGGGAGTCCATCTTTTGTCTGGAAGCAGGAATGCATGTTGCATCGTACTCCCACACCTGGATATGGTAGACCCCAGTACTCCATCACTATACATTTCCATAAGTGAGAAGCCCAAACACAGTAAAGATTTAAGCAGAAGACCAATAATACATGTGGTAACAAAAAATACACTAAAATACCCTTACATTTCCTTTATGACTAGTTAAGTTAAATAAACCTAGTCACATGTAACCCAAAAGCTTGTGCATATTAAAATATAATATAAACTAATTCAATAAACCAAACAACGGGGCTGATATAGAAGCAACGTAGCAAAAAGCTGTTACATATGACCCCACCACCCGTATGAGCACCAGTCTGAGTCCTGGCTGCTTCATCTCTAATCCAGCTCCCTGGGAACGTGCCTGGGAAAGCAGTGGAAGAGGACCCAAATACCCGGATCACTGCCAATCACACAGAAGACCCAGATAGAGTTTCTGTCTTCTGGCTTCATTCAGCCTGGCTCAGTCCTGGCTTTGCAGCCATCTGGGGAGCGAAGCTGTGTCTGGGCAATCTCTTTTCTCTCAGCCTCTACCTCTCTGTAGTGCCACCATTCAAATACACACACACACACACACACACACACACAATCATGAAGACAGTACATGAAACTCAAATTCCAAAAGCTTAACCAATGAAGTTCCTCCAAACACACAAGAGCCCAATGACTCAACAGAAACGTTGGTGGTAGATAACAGAACTTGGTAAAGAAACAAAATTGGCTCACATACACAAAAAGATGTCCAACCTTACTGAGGAAAGAATTAAAAGTTATGCTAAAAATGTTATTTTTTTTACCTATCAGTTTAGCAACAACAAAAAAGTCTGACAATATACTCTGCTGGCAAGAGCGTGGGACACAAGCACGGACAGCAGGAGTATGACTTGGCACCCACAGGCCAGATGACAATGCGTTGTAGCCATTACATTCAAATGCACATTTCACTAACACACAACTTTCAAAACTGAAAATGCTGTGTATGCATATACTGCCTAATCCAAGACACACACTAATTCAGTTGTTCCTTCCAGCACTATTAGCAACAGTGAGGGCCTAGAAACAACCAAGTAAGCAGCAATAAATTATTCTACAATACAATGAATATACAGCTACGAAAAGGAAATTAGTATTTTTGTCATTGGTATTGTGGCAAAACAGGTTGCAGCTGGGGAGCAGGCATACCTACAGAACAGTCTGGGGCAGAGTCCCTTTTTTACTTCCAATCCAGCTTCCTGCTAATGTACACTGGAGGCAGCAGACAGCGGTCAGAGCTTCCTGCCAATAATAAAACATGTGCTCTAGGCTTTAGCCGTAACTGCTGCTACAGGCCTCATGAAGCACACCAGAGAACAGGAGATCTCTCTCCTCTCTCTGTGCCTAACGCTCCCTCTCAGTAACCCTGCCTTTCAAATCAACAGAAAAATAATCTTATAAAAAAGCTCTTAGGCCCGGTGCGGTGGCCTAGCAGCTAAAGTCCTCGCCTTCAATGCCCCGGGATCCCACATGGGCGCCAGTTCTAATCCCAGCAGCTCCACTTCCCATCCAGCTCCCTGCTTGTGGCCTGGGAAAGCAGTCGAGGACGGCCCAAAGCCTTGGGACCCTGCACCTGTGTGGGAGACCCGGAAGAAGTTCCTGGTTCCCGGCTTCAGATCGGCGCAGCACCGGCTGTTATGGCTCACTTGGGGCGTGAATCATCGGACAGAAGATCTTTCTCTCTGTCTCTCCTCCTCTCTGTATATCTGACTTTGTAATAAAAAATAAATCTTTTTTTTTTTTTTAAAAAAAAAGCTCTTTATACACTGATATGGAAGTCTCCAATATTTCCTATTAAGGTGAGAATGATACAGAACAGTGTACATTGCAGGTTATCATCATTTACATAGATAAGAAGATTAACAACTATAGGTTTGTTTCGAGTTAGACATGCATTTACTGTAATTTCTGAAAGATAACCAAGAACAGTCAATGGTGACTCCCTACAGGAAGAGATGGGAAATTGACACTGGCTTTGAGGAGGGGACCTCAAGTACAGGCTAAGCATCCCTGCTATGAAGTACCCAGACTGTTGGAGGGCTGAAAGTTTAGGAATTGGAGCCTTGGGCCTAGTAGTAGTCTAGTGGCTAAAGTCCTAACCAGGATCCCACATGGGAGCCAGTTCTAATCCCGGCAACCCT